GCCGCACCTCTCCGCCCTGCCCCGTCGCGGCCCTCGGTGCGCTCCCCAGCGGCGGCGGCGCTCTCCCCCTGCGGCCATGTCGGGGGGCGGTGGGTCGCGCTATGCGGCCGAGTTCGTGCCCCCGCCCGAGTGCCCCGTGTTTGAGCCCAGCTGGGAGGAGTTCAGCGACCCGCTCGGCTTCATCGGCCGCATCCGCGGCCTGGCCGAGAAAACCGGCATCTGCAAGATCCGGCCCCCCAAGGTACCGCCGGCCTGGGGCCGGGGGGGGGATCGGGAGGGTCTCTCCGGGGGGCGCCGGAAGGTCTGAGCGGGCCCGGGGTCTCGGTGGCGGAGCGGTGGACGAGGGCACCCGGGGAGCCCTTTCCCCCGCTCCCGCTGCTCGCTGGGGGTTTCGTGTGTCGCCTTCCATAGGCCTCGGTGCCCGTGCCAGGGACACCAAGGAACCTGTATAGTCTTTGACCGCAGAGCTGGCTTTTGCAGAGGTTGTTTTCGAGCAGGTGAGAAGCTAGCAGCGCATGGCGGCGTCCGGGACTTCACGCTCTTTTTACTTTTTAAAAAAAAAAACCAACAACCACCCCAACAGCCTACTTGTGAAAATTGCGAAGGCATTGTAGGTGAAATCAGGCGTTTGCTCCGGGAGGGGGGGGAGGGAGGAGGAAGGGTATTCTCTTTAATGGCTCATTGTTTAGAAACATAATCTTTAAACTGTTGAAAGAAGGGCCCCCAGCCTGCTTGTGCAGGGGAATTATGTTTATGCGTAGCAGTTTAAAAGGTGGAAGCTTAATCTCTCCGATGACTTGATCGTTATTTTGTGATGACTTGCCCTGTGACCTGGTAAACCATTTAGATGAGAACATCAGGCAGTTTGGCAAAAGTGCAAATGAACTTTAAATATGGCTGTAAAACAAGAGAGTTGAAAATACTGAGATGAGAAAAACTGAAAAGAAAGCATGTAACTGAGAACAACTTGGATACAGGGGTTACTGATTAGATTTCATGATCCTTCCTCTCCTCCTGACCTGTCCGGGTTGCTGGAATCTGTTTAGTTGGTTTAATGACATGGTGAAAACTTGACCTCTAAGGGCTTGCCCTTTCTAAAATAAGCAGAATGGCTTAGGTTGAGAGGCCACAAGAAACTGATCCAGATCGTGTTCATTGAGAATAACTAGAACTTTCCTGGCCGTTGAATGCATTTGTATTTCTCCATGATTGCTTAGCTGTTTGCATTGCAGGGTTTTGCAGGATGCATGCGTCAGGTTGATTTGCAACCTGCAATAAGTACTAAATCAGAGGCTTTATACTAACCTTACTGATTTATTATTCTTTTCCATTATTAGAAGCTGTAAATATTTTACGATTGTGCTTGAGGCCTTTATATGCTGAAGCAGTGCAAATAATAAATGCTTAGTGTAGCTTGTCCACCTGCAATGAGGTGTCCTTACTCTGTTGTATTTATTGCCAGGTAGACAATCTACTGTAACTTAAGCTTTCTTAAAAAGTACTAAAAAGCTGAATTATACTTGTTTTGATGTCATAACACAGTTTTGAGAGATAGGGCTAGGAGGCACTTGTGGTTGAACCAACTGCTGACTGTTTTGAGAAAGTCATTATTTAAGGCTGCATTTCTGTTAAAGAATTGGACTCCCAACCGGTGGTCTTATCTTTATTGAAATGACTCTAGACAAACATGAGAAAAGTTAGATGCATAGTAATGTGCTTTATTTAGTGTTTGTCACTGTTGATGGTGAGAATTTTGCAATGTGCAGGATATAGGGAACTTTTTTTTAAAGTAAATAAATAACCAACAAGCTACTGGGTATGTCTCATATTTAAACTCAGTATGAGGTAATGCATACTGAAATGCTTTGAACCTTATTTTCTTTTATATTTTTCATTCTGTGAGGATCTCTTTCTCCAAACTAAAATACTGTGGGAAGAACATTATTTTAAAAGCACAAGAATGTCATAAAAACGGAAAATGATATCACCAGTTGTACTGAGAAACTCATTTACTATTGGGAGCTTGTTTACTCAGACATTGTTAGGGTCTTCTCTTTTATGAGTTTTTTTGAGAAGTTTCTTGAAGCAATAAAATATCTTTTTGTGTCTGTTTAGGACTGGCAGCCTCCATTTGCATGTGAAGTACAAAGTTTTCGTTTCACTCCACGAATTCAGCGCCTGAATGAATTGGAGGTGAGCTTTTCCACTGTTGATATAATTTTGTGTTTGCACTGAGAGCAGTAGGTCTCCTTGCTTGAGATTTGCATCTTGGCAGGTTTCTGGATGGGAGAGACTTTAGAAACCCATAGACCACATCAGTGTTTATACTTGGCAGTGGCAGAGTTCATATAAAATAACTCTCCACGGCTTTGAGAAAAGTCTGGTTTTTATTTTATTACCCAAAATAACCACAAGAGTTTTTCACATTCAACTGGAAATGTCTAAAATGAATGCCAAGTACCATGTTGTGTAGTAAGAGCAGCCAGTGTCTAGCCTTCAGAGATCTACAGGCAATTAATTTTTTTTTCTTAAAATATTTACTGCTGTTCTGAAGCCTCTGGTTACCTTATACTGTCTTGATAATGCATTTTAAACCTTAAAATGAACTGATTTTTTTATAGGCTTATTATAGTTAATTTTATGATTCAAAAATGTATGGGAGCTTTCTTGAAAGCAGTAGAGTCTCATTTTGTCCTGGTTTTTCCTTTTCTCTACAAAATTTCTCAAAGCCTTGCTCTGTTTGTATACCAAAATGTCATGTATCATTTGGCTTGTAAATGGGTCTCCTTATGGAAAGTGATTTGAGTACTCCAAAAATACTCAAGGGAGGAGGCCTTTCTGCGTGGTTAAGGCATATATTAAAAGTGTTTGTAAATCCTGTCCGTCCCCGCCCCAATATATATTTTAATAATTGCTCTTGTGTTTCTCCCTGGAATGCTGACTTCTCATATGTATGCATTTTGGTTTCAAACCAAGAAATTGCTGGGTAGGAGTTTGGTTTGTAGGCTTTTGAATGCAGAGAGAAAAGCATATACAATTTTCTGCTTGTAAAGATCTTTCTTTTTATCAATATTTCTATTTCTACTTTTTTTTTACATGACTAAGAAATACCTCACTTGCCAAGTTGCACTTTGAAAATGTAAACTCTATAAAAACTTCTCATGTTTTTTCTCAGGACTGCAAGGTATTGTCACACTTGTTTTGGGACATATACATTTGTCTTCCTTTATTGATTGCAGGCAATGACAAGAGTGAAGCTGGACTTCTTGGATCAGTTAGCAAAATTCTGGGAACTCCAAGGATCCAATTTAAAAATCCCTGTGGTGGAGAGAAAAATACTGGATCTCTACAGTCTGAGCAAGGTGAGTAAGCAATTGTAGACCTTGGTCAGATAGGGACCTTGTTTTTCATTCAAGCCAAGCAACAGGGAGGACTTGTTTTTACAGCATTAATCTCATTAATACAGAGAATAAATAAAAGACTTGAAAAAAAATAGTGAAAGAGAATTTTTAAATTGAATGGTTATGGCAGACATGTCAAGCACAGTTAAATCAATTGCCTTTGGTTGGATTCTATACAGCATGTATTCGTTACCTTGTATACAGCTTGAACATCCTGACGTCATCTGGCCACTTGTTTTTTAGTTCTCCTTTTTTACAAGTGGTAGAGCTGCAGGAGTTTCAGGTGGTTTTTGAGAAGGCAGCGGTATACTTTTGCGCCGTTCAGGTCCTGACCTAGCAATTCTGTAATGAATTGTTGTTGTAATTGCTCCCTCCTCTATCCCAACAGAGGTTCTTCACATGACATAAAGATGCATTTTTGAGAGTTTATAATGTCAACTTCTGGAATAATTATTTTAATTAAATTCCAAAACAGGCTAGGCTTAAGGCTGGCTAGAAATTTATACTACTGTAGTTGTGTTTGGTGTGGTTTTTTCAAAGTTTGCACACAAATAAAATCTCTGTTGCAATTTGCTTTTCCATTGGTAAAATATATGTACTGTTATAAACTTATCTGCTAAGGATGGATTGTTATTATAAATAGGTAGATTTCTTCTTGCAAGGTAAGGAATTAAAACAAGGTAGTTCTAGTGCTTCTAGGTTAGAGCATCAGTTTCCATTCCCCATCAAGATTTCTTTCTTTTCAGTAAGTAAAAATGTAAAGATCTGAATAGATTTTATTTTTAAGGAAAGAAGTCATAGTCTTTTGGGCAGTCTGGAATTGCTGATAAAATGCAGAGAAAAGCTCATAAAATGTCTTTTGGTATTTTTTTAAATTTCTTTTCATGTCTGTGGTGGTTTGCTGGGTATGCAGAATATCATAGTGGTACTGAGAAGTATCTGGGTCACTGTTACAGGCTAGAACATTTTAGTTGACTGCAGATACACAGGTCTAAGATTATTTAGTTACTTAGTGGCTTCTCTAGTCATTGTTCATGTATAGATAATTTTAGAAATCAATTTTTCATGTACATTTTGAAGATAAGTTGAAATTTAGGAATGGTTTTATTTAAAATGGCTTTTCTAGTACTTTGCTGTAAATATGAGGAAAAATAATGATCAATAATATTATTGTTTTATCTAAGTGTATCCATCTCTGATTATAGGAGGAATCAGAATTAACTAATTTATTTGTCACTGTCACAATTAGACTTTTGAATTTACCTCAGCCTCAAAAATAAACCATAAATTTCACTCCAGTAACAAAATGTTTTTGCATTGAGGTTTCTAACAGTCTGTGAAACATTAAGCATGAAATTTGGTCCTTGTGTAAAGAAATGTAATGCAAAACTACACTGTTGTAGAAATGCTATTAGTCTTGCAATAATATAATTGAAATTACAATCCATTTGGGTTTTAAGCTACTTGGCAGTGAAACTGTAAAGGGAAGGGAGGCAGTGGAAATGTGCCCAGTGTTTCTGAGGAAGCAACTCATATGCTGTTAGGATCATTGCTTGGAGGCAAATGGTCTGTTGTTTTTCATTCTAGGTACATGTTAGTTATATGTAAACAGTGATAGTTCTGTATGTGAATTACTACACTCAGACCAATTGAAGGCAGGTGTAAAAACTGGACTGAGTTAATTAGAAGGTAAATTCAGTTTTTCCTCTTTTTACAGTTCTCTCTCTGCCATTCAGGCTTTTGTGAGACTTTCTGTAACTCTGAAGTTGTGAGCTCCAATGCTCCCTTCTGCTTGGGGTCTGTTAGAATGGGCTTCGCTTCTGGCCAGACTTGTGTTTTGCATCAGAGTACAAGTCTCATGAGAGTTAACTTTTCAGTTTGTTCTGATGGTGGGGTTTGTATTCTTTCCAACATGTCATAAATCTTAACTGTTGGACTCCTCCTGTCTAGGACAGTACACAATTTCCATTTACTAGGAAAATTGTCATGTTAAATGTATTAAGTAATGAGGATAAGTAAGACCTTAGTTATTAAAGTACTAGTTCTTCAGGAAACAAAATCTAAATTCAGGATTCTGTCACTTAATAGAATCTTTTAACATTTGGTTGATTTAATTGATTCTTGGTTTATGCAAGGTGGTGAGAGCAGCTCAAAACCCTTAACTTTTTTATTCATGTGTTTCAGATTGTTGCCAGCAAAGGAGGCTTTGAAGTAGTCACTAAAGAGAAGAAATGGTCTAAAGTAGCAAGTCGGCTTGGCTACCTGCCAGGAAAAGGCACAGGGTCGTTACTGAAGTCTCACTACGAACGGATCTTATACCCCTATGAGCTCTTCCAGTCTGGGGTCAGCCTTATGGTGAGATGCGTCTCTTTCATGATATGAAGAGGGGACCCAAACTGCATTTAGAATGCTACTTGTTATTGCGTACGAAACTAGGGCGCTTTTAGAAGCTTTAGCTATGTAAACAAACCTAGAACCACCCTCATACTTACCTGTGACAGAATAGTGCTAGAAGTTGTAATGTGACCTTATGTAGTTATTTTCTGATAGCCATTTCTTTATAGGACTGAGGCCAACCCTACTGGGAAGGAAAACAGGGCAAAAGATGATATGATTAACTGGAAAGATATCTTCCTCTCTCTTTTGATAAGCTGGCAGTTGAGATTCAGTTTCGTTATTTGAAGGTTGTGTGGATTAATTGTCCTCTTGTCCAAATGGCTTGTGTAATGCTGTGTGATTTCACTCATCCTGTTTCTTAGCAAACAGAATGATTCACAGACCATGAAATGATTAGCGCTGCCTGATCAATCAACCTGGTGTTCTGTGCTCTGATCCTCTAGGGCATCCAAAAGCCAAACTTGGACCTTAAGGAAAAAGTGGAGGCTGAGGACCTCAGCTCAGATGCCCAGGCTTCCCCAAAGCAGGCTTCAAGAATGAATGTTGTGCTGAAGAGAACCAGGCGTGTCAAATCCCAGGTACCCCTGTTAACTGGCTCTTACGGACAGAGAACACTTATTCTTTCCACCAGCGCGTCAGCATTGGCAGCGCAACAGCCTTTGGCTGTAGGAGCCTGCTCAAAAGCACCACTAGGAAGCAGTCTTTATTTAAATAAAATCCAGAGAAGGATGTCTGTCTGAGGCCTGGTTTGCTTATGGTAGATGCGCTGTTTATCTGAAAACTTTTAAAAGCTGCTTTTTGTTTATTGACAAGTGGCCTAGGTACCTTTCTAGTGAACATATCTGTGAAATCTAAACAGATAAAAAGCCATTTGTGAAATTATGTTGAAGCTTCTGCTTGTGCAAAGTTTGAAAAGTTTTTTAAAACTTTTTCAAATATCCCCTTTAGTTACACAAATGCAAATATGTGTAGATAAGTCTTTGTTAATTGTGGAAATTGCACTTGGGACTAATGATCTCAAGCGGGACAGACTGTTTTTCTGAAGAAATGAAACAGATATGTGGGGAGATGCTCAGTGATGGCTGAAACTGAATAGGATTTCCACAATTTTTCTACTGAAAAGCAGTTTATTCTGGATTAATGGTGTTACAGGAACTTCTGGTATTCTACTAGGTGATATTAAATCCTGGGAGTGCCCCCCAGTAAATTTCAATTCAAACTGAAGTGCTGTCACTTTAAATGCTGTATCTTTAGAAATAAGCTTGGAGGCTTGTTCTGATGGTTTCATTGCTTCTATTGCACTATTTAAAGTAGTCCTTTACCTTTTGAGAAGGATATCTATTGCAGGCAGCATCCTAAGGCCCTTTACAGCAGGTCTAGTGGCTCCCTCCTGGCCAGTCAGTGGAACATGAGTGAAAGCTGGATTTATGTGCAACAAACTACTTGCTTGATGCCATTCTAGACTTATTTTAAGCACCATAAAGTTTTTTCAGATGCTCTTAAACTGCTTTTTTTACAAATGCATCTTTCTTGTCACCGAGATATTTGAGTATCCTTTATAAACTTCCGTCTTTTTCTCTGATGTCGATTGATTTCGACTAAATTGTCTTTTTTTATCTGTTTTCTTAACTTACTGAAGCTGACTTGATGGTATTTATCCTAGCCATATAACAATGCATCACACAAGCAGTCCCAGCCTGTGATCTTACCAGATCTCTCGAATCATGTATTGTTAGTGAGCTATCTAGAAAAACTGAGAATGCCACAGGAACTGAAGCAGTCATTCATTATGTAGAATTCTGCTTTGGATTTGAACAAATCTCATGGGATAATGCCAGTGTGACCTTTTTCTCATACATGGTATAAAAGCATCACTATGTTATTGAGATTCTGTGGGATCTTTTCTCCTGCTGATTTTGGTAGAGTAATGGTACTTCACATTTCTCTTTGTTGGAAAAAGTGATTCTGGTGCAGTACAGCTGCTTCGTTTCATTTAAAGGGGCTGCATTTCAGAAATGAGAGGTGATTTTATTTAGATTGTCTGCAAAAAGTAAATATAGATATATATATTTTTTTTAAATACCTTTTACTAGGCCTGTAGCCATGCTATTTTTTAAGCATTACAGTTATTAAAATGGCTGAAAGGAGTTCTCTAATGCAGGAAAATCTCAACCTACTTGCATAGCCAGGAGAAGTATTTTTTTGGCTATGTTGGAAGCTATGTATAACTCTCAAGTCAACTCCAGAACTGTATTTAGAAACAGAGATTTGTCCTCAGTGGCCCCAAATGGTAGAGGTGTAAATATCTGGGGAATGCTGAGAAATTGTTCCAGATTTCAGTGCATCTCCTTATTGTAGACAGGACTCTGTTTATTGTTTGAAGTGCTTACCTGCAATTGTACCAGAGATTGTCTAGATAGTCTTCAGAGAACAGGTAATATGCAAGTAATGTAAAAACCTGCTAAATAAGAAATGTCATTCTGCTCTAGCTGAAACATCTGAATGATTTTTGTGTAGTGTGCTGAGTAGTCCAGTGCCTGGGTAGTGAGCTTGCGTAACTACACTGACATTGCGTCTCAGTAGATTTCTTCCAAGTGCTAAAAGTACTTTCCAAAAATGCTCTGCATCTTCTTCTTGCAGATAACTACCTAAGAATGGGTGATGAATAAGGAAGCATAAAGATAGTAATCAGAAATTACTGAAATAAACAAAGATCCTCAGCAGTAGAAGGGTGCGGCAGACTTTCAAAAAGCAAACAAAGCGAAAAATGAAAGAAAATAGGGAATGAGAATTCTCCGTTGTGAAAGATGGGTTGGGAATCTTTGGATACTACAATCAAATGTCAGCTGAATACATTGTCTCTGAATAGGAAGAGGATAATTTGGTGATGAGAGATTCTGCTCAAAAATAAACTTAATGCTTCATTCTTTTTCCCTTTTCTCTGAAGAAAGCGATCACAAATAAAAACCGGAGAAGGGCAACTGAATTACTAAAGGCTTTTAAAGAAGAGGACAACAAAAGGTAGAATGAATTCAGGTTAGGAAAAGAGAATACACTTAAGGAAAGGTTAAATTTAGGAGAATTTTGCTTTCTTAGAAAAGGGTAGTGTATCTTCATAGATGATCTGTTAGGATGTATTTTAACTGGCAAGGGATTTTTCTAAGGAGGTTACATCATGATGATTTCTGGTAGAGAAATGCAGTACTGGAAAAAGAAGACAATGAAGTGCTGTCTTTTCAAAGGATATTAACTTAACATCCAGAGAATTTTCTGAAAAGTTAAAACCAATTCAAAGTAGTATATCTGCTTTCAGGTTTCTCTTACAAACGATTGCAGAATAACAGAATTAATAAAATAAGGTTCCATTTTTTAACTTGAAAGATTTCCTTCCATGGGAATAATCCTGTGAAAAAGGAGAACTCTGGGAGATGCTGACAAATGCCCAAAACACGTAAATATTTTGATTCTTGGTTGTAACTATTCTGGTCTTGCATATGGGGGGTGGAGGGGTGGGGATGCAAATGTTGATGAGGGTAGGACAATAGAATAAGATAGTGTGTGAATCCAGTGTAACTGGATTCGCCCATATACAAGAAAAGCCTTTGGGTTGTGCTTGCAGTTGAGAAGGTAAAAGAAAAATACTGAGAATAGAATCACAGTTTAATCAAGTTCATTCTGCTTATATGGAAAAAATATAATGCAAAAGTGTGATGAAGTTTTGTGTTGTTAGCAATGAGAAAATGGCAAGAAATGCAAGATTTCTGCTTCCATCCGTTCACAGTTTTGAGTTTGGTGTTTTTATACAGTCTTAAAGGACACCACAGAAAGAGTACTCACTGAGGCTTCTGAATACTTTTGGTATTCATGCCTTAAACTATCAATATCCTGTCAGTGTTCATAAGGTTATATAGGAATCTGATTTTTAAAAAACATTTCCATTTCAATATCCAACCTGTTCTTTTTGAAAACTGTATAGCTTTTTCCATCTGAGTGTGAATGGATTGCATCCACTTAGGTCTAGTGCAATGCAAGTAAATCTGGGCGATGGTGTTCTGAAAATATATTTAGGCAATGCATTTTTAAACAAAGCTATAGAACGGAAGAGAGGTTGCTGCACATTAATGATTTACCTTTAGTAAATATGATAGTAAATTTATTTTTCAGGTAGCATTGAGAAAATTATCTTAGGTCGCAAAAGCAGGAGAGAAAAATTGTGGAGACCTTTCATACATGTTGGTGAAATGATGGAAAATTGTACTGTGCTGAGAAATGTAATGTGGGTTGATTCTATCAGGTTCTGTTAGTTGAGAGAATGGATGAGCTGTCAATGAATTTCAAATGGCAACTGAGGGACTATGAAGTCTCCAGGTGGTAGGCTTTCTTGTACAGCAAAAAAGTCACTGTTTCCTTATGGCTTGTTAGCCAAAAAGTGAGGAGCTTATGAGAAAAATTTGCCAGTTAGCATGCAATTTCAGAGCGGGCTTACAAAGTTGGTAACATATCTCTAAAGTGAAAATAATTTAATAGCAACATAGAATTCATAAATGTTCAAAATTAGAATATCAGCAATAATCAGTTTGGAAAGATGCCAGTTAGCATACTGCATACACAGTTCAGTGGGAACAGGGACTCTATCACTAAAAATTCCTTAGAGGAGTAATGCCTAGGAAATTATATCTCTCTTTAATGTGTTTCAGAAGCAAGAAAAACAACTGATTTAGGCTGAATAAATGGAAATCATCTTATTTCTTTTAGCTTTATTGCAAATGCATTTGAACTTATTTTAAGCACTTTTTTGGAAGAGTTTTTTGCGATTTTTTATTAAAAGCTGTGAACGCATGTCACCCCAAGGGACCTTGTTTCCTGCATGATATATCAGGCCATAACTCTGTGGAAAATAACAGATGAAGTATCATTGGGAAGTTACTTGAAGAATGATCTCTTTAGGATTAGGTGCGCACCTTCAGAATTGATAGATTTGACGAGATCTTTTAAAATCAGTGAATTTCAGGAGGAAGATTGTCAATGATGAGAGTTTAGTGGCCTACTATACCAGGTGAGAAAGAGTTTGCAAAGTATAAGGAGGCAACATAAAGAAAAATACCAAGGTGATTGTGTTGCAGATAAAAACAGAATATGGAGGTTCTTTTTATTGTTAGGTTAGTGGCAATGATAAGAAAATAACGTAGGTTGGTGATGGAAAATGGGAAGAAGTTCAGTTGAAGAGAACACTTCAGGAAACAACACTGGTAGGGGCATGGAGTTGTCACCTATTCGGTCTTTTCATCTCTGATTTTGAGATTGCAAGGGCAGCAGAAGTAGCTGTGATCTCAGAGTGGTACTCATAACATTTCATCACAAACCCAGGAGCAGCCAAGCTTCAGGCAGTAGGTTGGAACTCGTTAGTGTCATGTGTATGTGTCTACTCAAGGAAGCAGATAAAAAAAATATCTGTTGAAACAGTGTATGTGTTAACATCCAGGCACTTGACTGAATCATGGTTATTTTGGAAAATACTGCTGTGGCAGCGTTCTTATTTATTTTTTGCTAAATGTCAAACCTCGTTCTCTTATTTGCTGTATGGTTGACTTTCCGTAGTTTCTGTAATACTAAATGGGAAATAATTTGGGAGGTTGGGACAAAAATGCTGTCTTTTATTCCATTTGCATTTGTTCATTGACTTTAGGAACAGAAAATCGTGTCTTTTTATGCCTCTGTTTCCTTTCTTTTGATGAGCAGATGTTGTGGGAGAGTGGAATATAAACAAATTATGAATAGACCTGGAGGGGAAATACTGATGCTTTGTGCTGATGTGGTCTTGTTTTTGTTTTTAGGCGGAGGCAGGAGAAATGAGTAGAAATACTGAACTAAAGAAGCTGCAGATCTTTGGAGCTGGACCCAAGATGATGGGACTGGCACTGGGAGCAAAGGATAAAGAGGGTAATTAAATCTTGGGCTCATAGCTGTTAAATCTTTCTGAATGTCTCTAGAGATAACATTAAGAAGTAAGCAAATCATTGTAACTGGAAAAAGAAAGCTTAAGTATTCTAGGGTTTCATTCATGAGAAAGATTTACAGGGTGCTTCATGTAACTTGGCATAGTTTCAGCTCTTTATGTGTTGTATAGTAACAATAACAATTAAGCAGCTGTTGCATGAACTGAGTGACTGGAAGGGAAAACAGGATTTGACAGTACTGAAACTGATTCTACCAGCTAAGTGCACAAATTATGAGTGTAATTCACTCTGTTTCATGAGGCAATTGGGTTCACCTGTGAGGATAAGCAAAATATGTTTTCCTAATCCTTGTTGATTTTAAATTGGCCAGGTATAACAAGGCATTTTTGCTTTCTTTGAACTGTCATGTAGTTTCTGATATGAAAGGCAGGGTTCCAGGCTGGATATCTGTGTTGTTTTTGCAAGTTAAGTCTATCTTGATGGGATACCAATAACATTTAACTTTTATTTTACTTCAAGACGAGGTGACACGAAGACGCAAGGGAACCAGATCAGAAGCATTTGGAATGCAGATGAGGCAACGCAAAGGAACTCTTTCTGTCAACTTCGTAAGTTTGATTCTTTGCAGTGATTTCTCATAATAAGAAATTAATTGATTTACTAAGATTATTTTTTTTCTAAACCCCTCCCCCCCCAGATGAATGGTTGAACACTGCAGGAGGTGATACTGTTATGGGAAGAACGAACAGTATTTTGAAAAATAATTTATGCTCTAAGTTTCTGTTTTAATCTTTCGGACAGGAAGGATGTTGCAACGTGAAGGTACTTGTTGATCATGGGTTTGAGGGCTTGCTTTGCGACACAGTTCTTGCAAGCCTTCAGTTGCTTGCTTTCTATTTGAGCTCCCCTTTGTAGGACAAGTATAATATTACTTGTCTTCTTTAAAAGATACTTTGAGGTGCTCCAATACTTCAGGAGTTTGTTTTTTAGCAATTCCAGCTTTCATGTCTTTTCTGTTGAGTTTAAACTAGTCATTATACGAGTCCATGCAAGAGAAACCCCTAAGGGCAAAAATGAAATGTTTAGCGCTCTGATGTTTAACCGTGGAAAAGCAGTATATGGTTGTTCTTAATGTCTTTCATAGCATGTGACTTTTTACTTTTAAAATGTCGTAATTCAGCATGTGTATCTAACCATGAATGAAGATGCATGCTTTTAATGTCTTAAGAATTAGACTCTTCACTAATAATTCAGCTGTTCTTTTATCTTAGCCTGAGAACACTTGCAAGAGCTTATTTTAAATTTCAACCATTGAAGGCCAAGGCAACTGAAAGTCTCTAGTAATGATATTTTTATATGTGGAAGTGCCTCCTGGGGGGGGAAAAAGTGGGAGAAGTTGGATATTTAAAAAACAGATCATTGTGCCATTGCAGTTAAGTTAGAATTTGTATGACTTGAATTTTTTCAGTTGTGCTACTACTTCTGAGTATATGGTGGTCCTAGGCTGTGTAAGTGTTGTGACCATTTTGTTTAAGTATGCTTTAATTTTAAAATATTTTATCTAGTTTCTGTTTCTTTATAGAAAATTATATTTGTTTACTCTTTCCATTTACTCTTATTTATAAGAGAAAGTGAAAATACTGTAGTAACAAGTTTTGAAACTGTATTGCTGTAACTGTAATCTTGTGAATTTCTGTGACTTAGTATTATTTTGATTCCACACTTTTTTTATACTTGGATGAGAGATCTTCAAGGAAAGCAGTCTTTGAAGTACACAGGTGATACATTAGCCTTGTATAACTTTTGTCTGAAAAATACTGTGGTGCAGTTTTGTTTATACTTCTCCCTCATTCATTTATCTTTTTGTGAAATGCTAACTGTGAAATAAAATGCACTTTTTTCTTTTTATTCCCTCCTCCCCTTGAATCCATATAGTTATGTATCATCATAATCTGACTCTGTTTTGTTCCATGGCTAGAAGGCTTATTTGTGGTTATTGCATAATCCCTGATCTGCTTGTTCTGAATATCTATTTCAATGCAGTCTTTTTATTTGACAAATCATCACTTGGGTTAGCATAAAGAGTGCATATGTTAATATGAATTTGGAGAGAAAGTATTATCAGTGATAGGTAACTAGGGAGTATCATAGAACAGCCTCCTCTTATGATCGCCTTTTTACTGCATGTTTAGTTTTGGGAAGAGAACCTGGAAATGTCTGCTAAGGTACTCTCCCTCCCTTCTACATAAACAAAAGCAACTGGTTTGGTGTTTTAGACAGACTTGATATTCCATGAGGGTGAATGTGTGGATTTTTTTTAAAAAGGGGAATATTATATGTCTCTTAATAGAACTGCATGATTTTTTTAAAACTATTTCTTAAGAAGCCTGAGCAATTTTCTTAAGTGTATTATTGCATAGCTAGGAAATTGCATACCTAACTAGGCTGGTGTAACTAAGATGGGGTTGACATCAGGTATTTAACACAACTGTGTGCACCTAATCAGCTGAAAAGCACATGTTTCTGTGACATCTTCATGAAAATAACAGACACCCAAAAAACTACACCACTGCTTCTGTTGTTGTTATTTTGGGCTGTGTGAAGGAAATATGCATAGCCTGAGTTGCCCAGTGACTGATGGGAGTAGCAGCAGAATTTGGAGCAAGTATTATTCATGAAGTTCAATGTTCTTAGGAAAAATTTGTATGTAAGATAATTATTTAGCTGTGGTAAAGTAATACACAGTTTCCTCATTTAGATGATGTTACAGATCTTCATTAGTATAGTAAATGTTTATATTAAATTGAAAGTCCTTTGGATAATACAGGAAGCAACAGCAAAGAAAATGTCAAACCTGTTGATAAGGTTTTCTCTTTAGTCTCTGAGAATATCTCCCAGTCAGTGTTGTTCTTGTTGAGAGATTGTCTTGGACAAACACCTGCGAAAATTGTTTGCTATTGCGTTGGGATTAATACTTCTCTCTTACCATTTGGAGTTTTTATCCTCTATTTTGGAGAAAATGAGAAAGAAGTTGGTACCTTTACATGGAGTTTCCTTCCCTTCCCCTTGGATTCTTAGATTGAAATCTGTAGGTTTGTGGGTTTTGTTACATCTTCTCTTCCATTGCAAAGATAGTCACTGTACTGTTCTAAGTGATGGCATGTATGTTTCTGAAATAGTTTTTGGAGATTTTCCTCAGTCATATGCTCTTTGTAGGGATTTAGTTTGAATTGTTTTCCATAGGCCCAAAGAGAGGGAGAGCATGAAGTTCTAAAAACTGTAACTTCCTCTTTTGTCTTAAAATAAAGTAAATGAGATGCTACTTCGAGTTATATAGAAAACAATTGTCCAACTGAACTGGATAGTTATTTTGCAGTACCCAAAGTCCTCCTGCCCCCCATGTATTACTGCTTTGGGAAAATGAAGTGTAGTTGTTCATTATCAATGCTTCTCAAAAACCAGTGGAGGTTGCGTTGATGTTCATATATTGGACTTTAGGATTACATCCTTTGTTCTTTAGTTTAAAGAAGGCAGGTTCGGGATGAGGAAACTTTTTGTAACTTTTTTTCCCTATTTTTTCTTTTTTCTCCACAGGTTGATCTGTATGTTTGCTTATTCTGTGGCAGAGGAAATAACGAGGACAAACTGCTTCTGTGTGATGGATGTGATGACAGCTATCACACTTTTTGCTTGATTCCTCCTTTACCTGATGTACCCAAGGGTGACTGGAGGTGTCCGAAGTGTGTTGCTGAGGTACAGTTCAAGAACTACTCAAGCTTTGTGTGTATACTTGTGTTCCTGGAAAGATCAGAAGGGCAGTTCAGCTCAGTGCCATTCCATCTGGGTAGAAGGCATAGTTTTGTTTGGAATATTGTCAAGATGAGCTGTGAATCTCCAGCTGTTCTTGGTTGATGAGCCTTAAGGAGAGAGAAATGTTCCTTCTAGAGCTTCAGCATAACCTTTGTTTATTAAACAGCCATATGACAGCTAAAACTTTGGCCTTTGTATGCTAAGAGCTGAAACTCAGTTTGATAAATTGGTAGTGGGAAATTAGGGTGGGAAGTAGGGTTGTGATAGGTGTTTCAGCATAACAATGAGATTTTGTAAACTATGATGTCATCAGTGTATGTGATTTGGGCATAAGAGGGAGCTTTGATTATTGGCAAGTCATTATGGCATTGTTCAGAATAGCTTGTGGCAGAAAGTGGAAGAACTGATTGAAAAATTTGTAGCTATTTTAGATTTGGTTTATACTGAAAAAGGAGCTGTTGAGGCTCTGAAAGTGGAAGCTAGTTGAATTTCATTGTTCAAAAAAGAAGAGCTACCAAGTTCCAAGAGATGACTGGTCAACACCCTAAGGGCAATTAATATCATTTGATTGGCTTGGTATTTGTCTTAAGAAAACAAATTTCACAAGCTCAGGAAATTGGTAGATGTAGGATTCAGAGAAAAAAGCTTACTGTTTCTAAATCTGTAATTTTGTAACTGGCTTTAACTTCTTAGACCCTGTTTTATCCAAAGGGGCAGTTGCGCACACACATGTATATGCCTATTTCCCCCTACATCTGCCACACCCTTCTGCTGTTTTCTTTATGGTGGTGTATGAATAGTTGTGCAGCCACATAATAAGGTGGATCAGCTCTAACCCTTCACCGAGAGAGAGGGTTGTCGGATGAACTCAGGCAAATGCTGCTGTGAGAGAGGTGTAAGTTCATAGTTACAGGCAAGGGAAAAGATGCAACAAACCCTTTGGGCTGCCGCTCACAGGGTGGATTAAGCTGCCTGTTTATTGTTCCCTTCAAGAGAGTGCAATAAAAGAGTATTAGCAAACTACAGCAATCCAATGTGGAGTTAATTTAGAGAATATAGTAGTAAATATAGTGACTGCAGTGGTTTAAGAATGTGGAAACTCACAAGAAATTTCACTGCTACTACTGCTAGTAAAAACAGGGATATGTTGTTCCCAAGGAAAAAAATATGCATATAGGGACAAAATCAGGAAAGTTAAAGTGCCAAATAAGTTGTTAGTAGCAAATGATACAGAAATTACTTGAAAAATTCTGGAAATACATTGGAAGTAAGAGGAAGAAGGGAAAAAACATAGCTATATTATGTAATGGAGAGTAAACAAGTAACAGCAGAAAGATCTTTGAAATGCTCAGTAGTGCTTTTTGCATCAGTTTTTACTTTAAATGTTAATTGTGCGCAGATGCTTAATGTAATGTTAACAGCAGGGTGCTGGAACAGAAGCTAGGAAGAATAGGGTAAGGGCTCTTTATATGTATTCAGGTCAGCGTTGTTTGACAGTGTTTGCAGAAGTTGTAGATTCTCTGTTGCAGGCTCCATTTAAGAACTACTTTGATAAATGTTGGGCATAGTCTAAGGATAGTTCCTCTCAAAGAAAAAGAAACTACTGATCTTTTGAATTCCTTTCCATTCCTGTTTCTTTATGACTGAACAGCTGACTGTCAGATAGTTCTGTGTCATGTTCGTGTTCAAATATGTCTTGTCTATATATAAACATTGTGTCAGATACAAAGGATTCTGAAAAGGATGCTGTAGAAATGCGTGGAGAACTAATACTTTTTACACTCTTGGATGAATGGTGATAGAACAGTGGAAGACTTGCAGGTTTTCTGTCAGATGGGCCATGTCTGTAGTTAGCTATGTTGCATTGTTTTAATTTCCTTCTTCCTCTTTCCTCCTATATACCTTCACAGCACCAAATCCGTTGATGATTTGCTGACTTGATAAAACTGAAGCACTTGCAGAGTTTGTTCCTGTGCAGTTATTCTGCAAGTGCTTGAATCCAGTTTGTCTAAGAAACGTCTTATGGTTGTCTAAGCATCTTGTGCAGTGTCTTACTCTGGCTGGCAGCAGTAGATTATGAAACTTAGTTTGGGACAGGAAAGCAGAAGTGTGTAGCATTGGGATTTACCATGTTAAATTAGCTCCTGTACAATTAATTCTGTTCTGTTTCTGTTGTGGTAGGACTTCCGCAGCTGAGAAAAGCACTCAAAATTGATAGCTTATTGTGTTTGGTAAGGACTCTGATGGACACTAGGATTTTTTGCTAAAGATGTAACTGTAATAATCTGCTGCAGGGAACAATATTTTTATGTTCCGTCTCCTAGGAATGCAACAAACCCCGTGAGGCCTTTGGATTTGAACAAGCTGTCAGGGAATATACTCTCCAGAGCTTTGGTGAAATGGCTGATAACTTCAAGTCTGATTATTTCAACATGCCAGTCCATGTGAGTTTCAACTTCTGTTGTGATTCCTTGTAGGGGAAAAAGAGGTTCAGCTGATACTGGATTTTTTGCTGAGGCATCTTAGCTTTGTTTAAAGAGGGACCATAAGCTTCAAACATGTAAACAAATGATTTCGCTTTCTGGCATCTGGTCTCATTTCAACTTCATTTCACCCTTTTCCTGTGACAGATAGCTAGTTTTATTACTTTTTAGGTTATACCTTATTGGCCGTACCCTAGTTTAAAGTTCTTGCCCTTTTTGAGTAATTGAACCAGGTGTCTTGTTCTTGTTTGGCAAAGGGGTCTTTCTCCTGCCCTTCCTATGGCTTTTGTCATGGTTTAGTTTGTTCAGAGGAGAAATCATTGGTTTCCTCCCTGTTGCAGCCTTTTCTTGCAGACAAGTCAGTAGACTGGGTCTGTCTGATAATCACTTTTTTTTTTGTTCTGCATCTCAGCAGCATTTTTAAAACTTGCATTTCTGCTTTGGCACACTTCCGCAATTCTGCTGTCCTGTAGACTACATGCAGTACCAAACTCCTTCTCCTCTCAGGGTTCTTTGGTAATTTATGCATGTTCTTGCTAAAGCTTCTAGCTTTTAAGGACTCCAATTTCTGATGCAACTTTGGGACGCAGAGCAAAGCAAGGAACAAAGCTTATTTTACAAATAAGCTTCATAAATAAATGCGTACAAGTAAGAGTTGTAATGAACTATACGAAGACTACACTCTTGAACACAATTCTTTATCTGAATTTCCTTCCTGTTACTCAGAAGTTCTGGTCATTGTCCTTTGAAATAGTTTGGAATTTGCATGCTGTTCATTCTGTTTGCTGCTCGGTTTCTGCTGGCAGTCTCCTTCTCCCCCTTTTTTTAGCTGTACTTCTGGTAACCCCATCTTCTTTTTTTGTTCATTCCATTCTCTATGATGTGGCATTCTATTTACACTGCAGCCGCTTCTAAGGAATACAGACCAAACTGTATGACTTTGAAGAGGTGGAGGGGAGAGAAGAAGTGGCTTTGGCATTTGAAAATTCATGGGGGATTAGTAATGATTTATTGCTTGAATGATAACTTTTATGTTGGGTCTTATCTGCACATACCCTAATATCTTTTCTGCTTTCAGATGGTTCCCACTGAGCTTGTAGAAAAAGAATTCTGGCGATTGGTGAGCAGCATAGAAGAAGACGTCATTGTGGAATATGGGGCTGATATCTCATCCAAGGACTTTGGAAGTGGCTTCCCAGTGAAGGATGGCCGACGAAAGCTGATGCCAGAGGAGGAGGTGAGGAACAGGATATGGAAACTGACCCCATTATTTGCTCTGCATAGGATTTCACATTAAGAATTTATGTCAGAAATCAGCGTGGATTTTTTTCATGAAGAAACTGCTTAAGGCTTTTGCAGGCACTTAGCATTCCTCTTGAGCAGGGCATTAATCTGATATTTTAGGTTCTTTTACAGATCTGGTTGCTGATAGCTAAGCTGCTTTTCATGATTTAAGTCACACCTGTTTTGTATCACTTAATCTTAGCAGGCAAAGATGTGCAAATTGTAACAGTATGTCTGAGTATGAGGAGACTGATAAGATTTTTTTTTCTTTCTTGTTCCAAACCTTTTTGTTATAGAGTTAGCTACAGAAACATGATTCTAACCTCCTTGGGAGGTTCATAAAAGGTAAAACAAACTAACTGGATTTAGCTTGTTTCTCTGACTGTGCATACTGTAAGAATGAAAATATGTACATACAACATCCTACTATAGAAAATTTTATAAAGAACATCTGCTAAGTATATTACCTATTTTCCCTCAGACCTTACTGTAGCATGTCAATTTTCTGGTGCTTATATGTTTAAATTCAAACAAAATGAGAGTAAAGGTGTGGTTTCATGATTACACAGCCCCAAATCAATTCATACTGCTCACTGGAAGAGGTAATCCTGCTCACTATTTTCTTCCACCCATACCTGCACCTTCCCACCTGTACCTTTGTTGGCTATGTGTAGCTGCTTAATGAGTCAGAACTGCTTGTTGATCTATCTGTATGAAAGTAGTAATTTTAAAAAATATTTTCTAGCCAGATCACTGAAGTCATCTGACTCACTGCATTGTCTTTATCGTGTCAGAGCAAAGGAAACAGCAGGAATGTGTGGCTGAGCTGAGGGTGTGATGAGTCTTTTCGGCATCTATGGGATATGCCTAAAATGACATTCACATGAAGTGTGAATCTGTGTTAACAGCTTTTTTTAAGGTGGAAAGTAGACTAATGTTAAAGCACAGTAGTGAGCTTTTAAGGCAGTCTGTTTGGATTCTAATTTTTTGTACAAATTGTGTGTACTTGAAAGTAAAGGTGGGATTGCTTAGTGATGCTGTCTTCTCAGAAGTGAGTGTGTAGGAATTTCTTCTCTTCAGAAAACTTTCTGAAGTAATATATAAAGAAGATCAAGATAAACTGCAGTGCAGTAAAGCAGATTTTAAAAAAGCTGAAATAACATAAGTTTCACTGCATTGTTTACAATCTTAAGTTATCCTATTTTATTGAAGACTTCTATCTTTTGTTCTTCTATTAGTGTTGCTGGTATTTTGTTTCACCAGAAAAGTATGAAACCTATAAACTTGGGGGGAAGAATATCAAAGCCTATGTATGTAAGTCTTGATCCAAAGAAGATGGGTTACGTATGTTGAAATACCAGGACTGGCCTTAAATCTTAGTCTGATTAATTGCTGACTAAGGTATTTAAGAAATTATTTCCTAGTTTTGGTGCTTCATTGTTGCAGAATATTACCCACTGTCTACTATAGAAATGGATAGGCCGATCTCTTCCTTTGCTCTTTCCTTTTCTGGAGTTGGTGTCTTTACATTCTTCTGATTTGTTCAGAATTTTCTCCTCTTTTTGGCAGGATTATGCGCTTTCTGGTTGGAACTTGAATAACATGCCAATTCTAGAACAATCAGTCCTTGCTCACATCAATGCAGATATCTCTGGCATGAAGGTACCTTGGCTGTATGTAGGGATGTGCTTCTCCTCATTTTGCTGGCATATTGAAGATCACTGGAGCTATTCCATCAACTACCTGCACTGGTATGGTCTTTCCTTTGTGCATCTACCTTGCACTGCCCTGTTTGCTGTTAGTAAATTTGTAGTTCTACTTGAAAATGCCTACACGTGCCGATGACATTTTTAACCAAAAAGCTAAATTAGCTGAGCGGTCCATATTCTTAGCGGAGGCTGATTAAAAGCGACTACAGATACTGTTTTAAGCGCTTCAGTGTTTTTCATTAACTGATTAAATATTCTTGTGTTGCAAAAAATCCAGTGTCACTGTAAGATCATGCTTTACAGGCTCACATGTTTTCTAAGAAAGCTTTTGGTTTTGAACTGAGTTACAGTTCACTGGTTCACTGCTTTATGATTTAAAGTTGGTATGCCCATATGCTGGAAATGGAGGCTGCTGCCTAGTGGCTTACACAGGCATCAGAGTTGCCAGTTCAGCAGCAGATCTATGTATACACAGAAATACTCCTAGTCAAGAGAAATTTGAAAGTAGTTCTGACTTTGAGAACAGCCCTAGAAGTGTTCTGGTGTTCAGCTTTCGTGTTCAAAAAGAAGAATTGTGACAGATTAACTATTTGCATTGCAGTCTTTCCAGTTCATCAGGCTCAGTCATGGTGGATGGAACTGGGGGGAAGGAGGGGAAAGCTGTGGGAAGCACCCCTTTAGAATAGAAAGGTTACTGTACATCTGGTAAGGATGAGTTGATAGTCTTTAGACTGTGATTGCATATTTCTGGAGAAGCATGTTTACTAATAAGATCTGAATTAATTTATTTTGTTTCGAGTTCAGGTATTGTCCTCAGCATGCTATTAACTAGATCAGTATGTGAGGGTTTTGTGTCAGCTGGTGAATTCCAGCAGCCCAGATGCAGAATAGTAGTTGTTTACTGGGGTTTAGCAGCTGTGTCCTACCAGCAGGTGTCACTGAAGCCTGCAGGAACGACAGAAAATGCTGCATTGTGTCTTATCTAACTTTTGGGATGGTTGATGCCAAGATTATTAATACAGTTACATTGTGCTATGTGAACGGTTTCATATATTTCAGCAGACTACTTCTTGTAGTTCTTAATAAAATAAAATTAAAAAACAAACATGAGCACTATAGATACTAGATCATTACAGTTCATTTTGGTTAAGACAGGACTGGAAGGACTGGAGTAATATGTTCTCAGGTAATATTCTGTTTAGTTTTGGTCTTGTTAATCTTTTTTTTTCCTTGTACGTAACCAATTCATGTTACCAGGCATTTTTTTTAATCTTAAGAGTCCAGTGGACCACTGGTTTTCAGTAATTGGTTATGTATATTAAAAGGATTGCTTATATGTCATTGCACTGTCTGGTGTTTTATTCTTTCCACTTCTGTTTAGTTGGTATACTATTTCATTGATTTCAGGAATACGACTACTCCAAGCCTGATTGAGTGAGTGAAGGAATACCATGATCTCTTCTCTCTTAAACATTAGCTGTGACGGCCAAGGTTTTGTTTGTTAAACTTACTTTATTCTTCCTAAAGGAAAATAATTGCCCATTTTTATCCCTTTAGAGCATGGTAAATGACAAATATCTTCCACGTTAGGCTTGTCATGGCAAATCTGCTGTCAGGTATGTTCAGAATTCTGTTGTAGTGTAATTGATTTTTCAGATTAGAATGATACACCCTGAAGACAACGGTTGTTGATTAAAGACATTTTTGTGTCTATGTGCAAAATATTTGGCTTGTGTGGACAGTGGTTCTAGATTTGAGGTGTACTTTGCAGTTGGGTAGCACTGTTACTTTCCTTTAAGCAATGTGTTTATTACTGTGGTTGTGTTTTGTTAGGGGAGAGCCAAAGACATGGTATGGCGTGCCCTCTCATGCGGCAGAGCAGCTAGAAGATGTGATGAAGGAATTGGCTCCTGAGCTATTTGAATCCCAGCCTGATCTCCTGCATCAGCTGGTCACTATTATGAACCCCAATGTGCTGATGGAACATGGTGTACCAGTGAGTAGCACATGAGCATTTTTTACATAAGTACTCCTATGCGCTCTCTTTTTTTCATTCTGTGCCAGATTTGTGTAACAATGGTTTGGCATAACTCTGAAGAATTTTTATGGTGGATATTTACATATTCAATTCATTAATTATGGGGTGTTTTTTAAAGCTATTTTCTAGAATCTTCCCTAGACTCACCATGAAATTTAAATTATCTTATATCAGAAGTGAGTGTGCCAAGCTTTTTACATAAAATCTTATAGAACAAGTCTACATTGTGTTACATTTAATTTTTAATTAAGAAGATCCCCACCCTGCCATAGCAGAAAGTTTGTGAAATGAGTTTAATATCTTTTGACAGTAAAATACTTGTCTTATGTTCAGTAGAAATCTCAGCATTACAAAATGCTTTTTTGACCACAAATAACTGGCTGCAGACCTTTAAGCAGCAGTCACTATAATTTGCTTTTGTCTTAGGATAGATTGCTTCCCTAGCAAATACCCCAACAAAGCAAACAATAAAGAGTTTCCAGAAGCTTTTGCACTTTGTGGTGGATGGATTAAATAATGATAAAGAAACATCGCTTTTGTGATTCATAAAGTGAATTTTCAACCGTTGGCTTATATATTCAGCTTTTTTGAGCAAGGCTATAAATTGAGGATTCACTTTAAGAAGACAGAACCAATCTTTACCACTTTTGGGTTAGGTACCTTGCCTGTGGTGTTTTATAGGTAAAGTAAGTGGTGTTCAAATGTCTTGTAATTACTTGTGTTAAACTCTCTTGCAAGTTTCATATTTTTCCTTTTTTTTCTTTTATCCTCACTTGTATTAGGTATACAGGACCAATCAGTGTGCTGGGGAATTTGTTGTGACCTTTCCTCGTGCCTATCACTCTGGATTTAACCAGGGATATAATTTTGCTGAAGCTGTGAACTTCTGCACTGCTGACTGGGTCTGTTCTTTTGTATACGTTTGCTATGTCTTTGCTAGGTGACCTTTGCAAGGAGTGTGTTAGTAACTTAATTATCTGAAGAATAGTCTTTTAAGTTACATAGTTTGTTTTATGTTTATAGTTCCTGGTACAACAGTTAAAGACTGATGTGAGTTTGTGTTACACAAAATAATTTTGATGAGCACATAATTTTAAGTAGGTCCAAACTGAAATTTTGGCACATGGTCTTCCTTTTTATGTATTGTTCTAACCAAAAAGTGACATATCACAGTACCTTTAGCTAGTATTTCTGTGATGCCTCTTTCTGAATTTGATACACATTAATGTACTGTCTTGAACAGCTGTTGTCATTTGAATGTTGGAGGTAGGCATATAACAGTCTTTTGTTCTCTTTTTGTGCCAGCTCATTTTGTACCTTTTTAATTATATTAGTGCTTGTCCTAAGAGCCATGCCACACCAGAGCATAGCTTACGTGGATTCTTCAGTAAGCTGTCAAAAGTGTGTCCTATCACTGTCCAGGGTTTACAGTTGGAAGTTACCATCTCATTTGTAGTTTATCTATCTCTAACTTCTTAATACCTTCAAACAGGAATTTTAGTACTTAATCAGATAATTTTATTCATTCATCAGAAAAATAGTCTGCAGGATTTGCAGTGTGTCAGTGTTCTTTTTCTCTCCTGTGCTCATGATGTAATCTGTGTATAGCCTCTGTGAAAAACTGCTAAACTCACAGCAACCATGTGAAATTTCCTTTGCTTATGCAATATGTAACCAGAAATCTGTAGCAAATTCACCTAGCATTTTAAATTTTTTGCTTTAAAAGGCACAAAATGAGTGATATCAATTTTGGTTAACTCTAGGCATCTTGTGGTAAATGTCTATGTCCAAGCATAGTAATATCCAGAGGGCAATGCATTCACCTCAGCATAGACCAGATGACTTCTTTTTGGTGCCAGTTTCTTTCCACTGGAAGTAAAAAGAGCTTAGGATAACTCTTAAACTTGTGCCTGAAAGTTAGGCATGTAAGGTTATGCCCCCCCAACATGGATATTGTCTTTTTCCTCATCTGTGATGTGATTTAAGGTTGTTATAATTGGCTCTGTCCCATAAGATACAACTCTCTTAGTCTCAGTCTTTTCCCAGATTTTGTCAAAGGAAGGAAAGTGGGAGCTAAGAGATCGTCTTGAAATGTCTTTTCCCAGAATGACAGATGCTGGTTTTTTGTAGCTTCCTATTGGACGTCAGTGTGTGAGCCATTACCGAAGGCTAGGACGTCATTGTGTTTTCTCCCATGAAGAGCTGATCTTCAAGATGGCTGCAGATCCAGAGTGCTTGGATGTTGGGCTGGCTGCCATGGTCTGCAAGGAGATGACTCTAATGATAGAGGAGGAGACACGGTTAAGGGAGTCTGTTGTACAGATGGTGAGTAATCAAAGACAACTCTTACTTTGCTTGCAAAAGAACTTTTGCTTCCCCCTCCCCCTGCCTGGCTTAGAGTTTTTTAGCAAGTGTCTAAATTTTTTTGTTAGGGAGTGTTGATGTCTGAAGAAGAGGTGTTTGAACTGGTTCCAGATGATGAGCGTCAGTGCACAGCTTGCAGAACCACGTGCTTCTTGTCAGCTCTTACATGTTCCTGTAATCCTGAGCGTCTTGTATGCTTATACCATCCATCTGATTTATGTCCATGTCCCATGCAGAAGAAGTGTCTAAGGTACACAGGATTTTTTTTTCCCCCCACTTTTCTTCCATATCCAATAGTTTGCTGCAGACCAGTGACCAAACATAACATTTGGCTATACTTCTTTCTTCCTCTATTTAAGGAGTATTTTTATCCTCTTTGCTTGTTTCTTGGTTCCAAGGCAGAAGGTATTATATATGTTCTGTCTTTCTGGCTTTGTTGTAGCTGGAAAAACTTGATATAAGCAATATCCTGGCTTTTGTATGGGCATTGATACTCTTTCTGTGTTTTTCTTCCATATCTCCAGGTACCGGTACCCACTAGAAGACCTTCCTTCTTTGCTGTATGGAGTGAAAGTTAGAGCACAGTCTTATGACACTTGGGTCAGTAGAGTTACAGAGGCTCTGTCTGCCAATCTCAACCACAAGAAAGGTCAGACTTCTATCGTTCATAGTAGGATGTCCTGAAACTCCTACATTTGTTCTGTGTTCTCATTTAATGAGAGAAACACTGTGTATTGTTTAGTGGAAAAAAGAAGGGAGCTAATCTGAGAGTGTAATGCAACTCTTAATTGTGCATTTCAAATTGAACTAGCCTGTTGGAACCTTGATTGAAGGCCTTTGAAGCAGTCTAAAATTGCTTTTGTTTTTGCATACAAATTATTTATGTACTGTTATTACAGATGTGATTGAGCTGAGGGTAATGTTGGAGGATGCTGAAGACAGGAAATATCCAGAGAATGATCTTTTCCGCAGGCTCAGAGATGCTGTGAAAGAAGCAGAGACCTGTGCTTCAGTAGCACAGCTGCTTCTGAGCAAAAAGCAAAAACACAGGTAGGACAGGCATTTTTTTAAGTTTCCATCTGTCTGTTTTGTTACTTGATTGGACCTGGAAATGTAAGAATGCTGAGGTCTCACTGCCTACTAACTTCTTTCAGTGTTTCCTGTCCTTAGTGCTGTGACTTATTGAGAGGTAGAGGAGGCAGATATGGTGACACAAAGGGCCAAAAAAGTGGACTTGGTTGGAAGTGTTAAACATACTGTTTTCAGCTGACTTATGTACTGAAATGTGAAATCCTTTGGAGAAGTTGTCTTGTTTGATTGCTGATCCGGTATTTCTCTGAATGTGTGGGAGAGTTGTAGGGAAAGACGAGGAAAAGTCTTGACATGAATGTTTATATTTTAGGTGGCATGGCTAAGTACATAGCTTAAAGCTATTGAAAGAAAATCTGCTAAAACATTGGATTGCAAAGCAAAATGCTTGAAAAGTAGGAAATACCAATTATGATTGGTGAGGCAAGCACAATTGTATCTTCTGGTACAGCATTTCTCAAAAATATAATTTTGCCAGCTGTTCTCAAGTTGCAGAATGTGTTGTCATGCTGGTGGAGTTACTGGAAGATGCAAAGGAAGTGTGTCTTGCCAGCACTGACTGGGACAAAAAGATCTTGGGGAGCAGAACAGTGCAGAGAGCAATAGTTTGAGCTAGTCTTTTCCTTCTTGGGAAGGACCATGGGAGGCAGTGATGTGTGGCTGAAAAGTAGTGGCTTGCCTCAGTGACTTCTGGCAGTTTAGTTGCCTGTGTTGTCTGCTTGCCTGTGGCTGCTTCAGTGTTAACTCTGTCCCCTGGCCCTACCTCAGCACTCTGCTGGATGTGTCCCCTTGTTCTGTTGTCACAAACCTTCAGCAACATGTTCTTCTCTCTACTGTGTATTCTGTGCACTGAATAAAAGTCCCACAGAAAATCATTTGATCAGGTGACAGTACTTAGTGTGCCAGAGGTGGTATGGTAAACTTCTGTAGCTTGCATTTCCTCTGCTAAGTATAAAATTTGGCTTTGTAGTTGGTTGGGTTTTTTGCATGTGTAGTTTTTGTGTATTACTTAAGACTTTTCGAGGGAGGCAGTAAAATGTAAATCCCTTGTTAATTATAATACCCAACTTTGCTACACAGAACATAATGCATGTCATAATTGCTTGAATTTGAACACTGAGATATTAGTGTTACACCACAGACGCAAGTATAATACCTGATGTAATTGGAAAGCTATTATTAAATACAGAAGCATTTTTGCTGTATTTGAAGGGGAAAGAAGGCTCTTCTGTTTGGTTTTTATTGCTTGTGGGATCCCACTACCACAGAGGTATGGTCACTTAGAACTCTGGTCTGGGTAAGTAAAGCAAGGCTACAGGGGTTGCATTGCCCTGTTCCTGGTGAAGTTTAATTATTTTGGTAGCTCCCAGGTGTTCCTGGTCTGTTGCTGCTTCCTCCTCCTCCTGCTGTTGGAGTGTGTCAGCCTGCTCTCAACAGGCTTGCCTTCAGTTAATTATTTGGTGGATTTCCAGCACTATCCCAAGAAACACAAAGGGTAGAAAGATTTGACCACTTTCAATGGTGTGTCTGATCTAAAGCTGAAAGAATTCCATGAGGCAAAAAAAAGGACTTGTTTATACGTCTGAGGGCTGTTGTATGCTAAATAGCAATATGTTATAAAATTGAGGTTTGAGAAATGTTTTGATGAACAGTGTTACGAAATATAAACATAGAGGTCACGTTCAGCTTCTTTAACATTTATCTTCATATTTAATACATTGAGAAGGATCACATTTACGCAAAGGATAAGGTTATTAAAAAAGCAAATTAAAAATGAGTGTTCAAACTGAACAATTTGGCAGGGATTAAAGGAGCAATAAACTCATGGTCAAATGTAGCAAAAGAAAATCTATCCCTTATGCATCTAATTGTATATAAACCTGTAAAATAGGTAACGTGTAGCTGTGAAGGTGTGTCCAATATTCCAATCCTGTATCTCTCCCTGCTATTGAAAGTTGTGAGTTTCCATAGGCAGGGATAGTTGTATCTTATTGTGCAGCATCTCGTGCTGTGGCATTCTGTGGTTGGACTAGGGACAGAACGCCAGTGTGATGTTTCAGACAGTGTGCCCTCCCACAGTGGTGTCTTGGAGCACTGCACCCCGTTTGCTCTCGTGCAGGAGTATTGGAGGCACAGTAGGTCCGTGCACCCACCACTCCTTCGCTCTGTTGTAGCAAGTCGAAGCCTGCAGTATTTTTTTTTTCCCTCTGAGTTTTAGATAATGTGTAATTATATTTGATAATTAATCAAAATTTTACTTTTATGATTATATTTAAAGTTCATAGGTTGAAAGATCGAATTCTGGGTTTTTAAATGTTTTTTAGTAATAAACTGTAGATTTGTTAGCAAGGAACAACTCTTCAGTGTTTAAAATCTGTCCTGCTTGTGAAGTTGTTGTGCCTGCCAGTGATACCTATACCAAGAGTTTAATTTGTGCAGTGTATCACTTTTAAGTCTTTCACTGCATTCAGCAGGCTTGTTATACTTGCTTCGAGTGATATTTAATGGAAGTGTCTTTGCAGAACATGTCCTACTCAGTAGCAGTCTTCTCCTGTTGCAAGGCCAGTTTCAGCAGTTCTTTGGTTACAAGAGAGCGCTCTAGAAAATAAGACTTCTTTTCAGAGCTTGTTGCTGTTATGTATCTCAGATTTCTTGTCAGTGCCTGTCATGGCAGTCAACTTCTTGAGCTGCCTAAAGCAGGCTTTTTGTTCTTTCACCTGTTTGGAGCAAACTCAATTTGAAAGTCATCTAGACACTCCTACCTCTGGAGAGCAGGGTAAATTTCCTTGAAGGTGCTTAGAGGAATTACATTAAATTTAGTTTTCAAGATTTTGGACTTCTTGTGGAGTTTGGGGTTTTTTGAGTTCTCAAGTGATGAAGTTTTTTTCATAACTTCTCCATAATCTTGATAGCTTTCTGTCACTGGGAGTAAATCCAGGGATCATCATCTTATCTCTCGCCTAATACTGTTTAATTATGTCCATTCATACAGCAGACAGAGCCAAGATAGTGGAAGGACACGGACCAAGCTAACTATGGAGGAGCTTAAAGCATTTGTACAGCAGTTGTTTAGCTTGCCCTGTGTTATCAGCCAGGCCCGACAAGTAAAGGTAAGTTTGTATCTACTCCTCAGATAACATCATGCTTTTTACTTTGTTTTGGTTTTGTGGTGTGGGTTTGTTGTTTGGTTGTGGTTTTTTTTTAACAGATAATGTTGCCTGGTGTAAAGGATGAAAGGCTTTTTTCTTTAAGAATCAGTCCTGCACTGGCAGAGACGGATTTAATGGGGTGATTCATTTCTAGCTTCTAATGTAAAGCAAATAGCTGCTTTGCAATGATATTTGTGGCCTCAAGAAAGGAAGTAAAAGACTCTGGATACGTCTAGCTCAGTGTTTCCCTGCTTTACTGGGTAATCTTGCTGTTGTCATTGAAGTTTTGCTGATGATATGTTGCTATCTCTCTGTAATGGAATGGTAACATATATTTTCTGCTCATTTGCAAGCAAGTCTCTAAGTGAGCAATGATGGCGTTTGTACTTTTATGCTAGTGTAGTCATAGCAGCTGAATATGTTGGGCTCAGTTTGGTAGCCTAAGTGTAGATATCTAGTGCTGTGTGAGATGCTCTAAAATATTCCACCTGGCCTCCTTTGCCATTCTGGAAGACTACCTTTGCTCTTGTGTAGCAGTTTCAGACAGTGTGGGGTATTGCACATGGTGGTCAGCATTTAGGCAAACAAGAGCTCTTTATGTGACTATGTGTACACTTTTTAAGGTGTCTGTTGCAATGGGCATTGTCAGATGTGGTGGTCTCACTGTAGCTACACCAAGATGAAAGATCCCCCCCACCTGTCACTGTCCAGGTGGCCCAGTTTTATCTCTCTGAACCAGTTACTATTGTTCCAGTGTCATTAATGTTGTCTATAGTGGTGGAATTTCCAGTTAAATCCTACCTTTTGTGTGTTTTTGTAGAAACTTCTGAAGGTTATGTTGGTGTGCTTCATTAGGGGAGAGGGAAAGCAGTACCACATTAGCAATTGTTCTGTAAATACTTCTCAGCCTTGCTTTCCAGGTTACAGCCCCCTTAATCTGTATGCATGGCCTGCATTTCTTGTCCTTCATATATATCTTTGCACCTGTCTTTGAATGAATCTAGACTAATAAGTAATCCAGATCATACTGATTCCCCTGGCTGCTATTATCGTTTATCACTCTGGCAGTCTGTATCATAGCAAGTGTTTTCAGCAGCAATCTTAATTTGTTTCTCTGTCACTGATGTTGAAATGTTAAGTAGTGTTTCGCCTACTAACCAGCTTCTAGAAAACTCTTCAAGAGACATCCTTAATATAGATTTTTCACCTTGAGAAATGGTTCTTGAGTTGTATGTTAACTATTTATTAACTCACATGTTCTCTGATGATACAGTTTTAAGAAGAATGTTCTGTAGTGCTACATTGAGGGCCTAAAATTCTAAACATTACCGTATGTGCAGCTACCACTATATAACCAAGCATATACTTTAAAAATAAGTTAGTCTTGTTTGAGAAGGCCTCTTTTCCATAAGTGTTTACTAGTTAGTTGTGTCCTTCTTCATTCATGAATTCTGTATTAACTTTTCCATGATAGTTCAGTGTTGATATCACAGAGAGACTTTATATTGGACTTTCTTCTTGTCTTTATGATATTGGCATGTTGTTGCTGAAAACAAGTACCTTCAGAAAACTATAGGACTCTAGGATGCAGATTTTCCAGGCCTGTTGATGCTAATCTTTATCCTTCAAAGATGTCCTTTAATGTGTTTCCCAGCAGCTAATCGAGTGGAAAGTATATTATCATCCTCATATGACAGGATGATTTTACTACACTTCTTTCCACATACAAACCAGAAATATTTACTAATATTCATAAAATTTTATCATCATCTATTAATAGACCTATAAGATTGTTCTCAAAGAAGTTTTTTGTTTCTAATGTATTTAAAACCTGCTTCTAATTAAGACATAATTCGTAGATGACAGAGCTGCAGGCATATAATAAGCTCTTAACAGTTTTAATTTGTATTTTTGTCTAAATATTTTGTCCCGACTAGTCTCTCCCCCCCACCCCTCAGCCTTACAAAACTTGTTCTGTTAAAGTACTCTGTGCATGTGTATGTTCTTGAAGCTTCAACATAATAACGAGCCAATAAAATAAATATTATCATTTTACTGGTTACTAACCATAGTCTCTTAGTTTCTGAATGAAGTTAGATAAAGATCATTTATGCCTAAGCACTCACTAACTTTCAACATGGCATTTGAATGCAATTATCCATCATAATGAATTGCAAAATAATTGGCATGTTGGATGATGAGTATTTTCTAACACAAAAGGCATTATAATTATTAAACTGTAATAATTTACTGTTGTCACTATGAAGCATTCAGCATATGTTCCCTAAATAAAAACCTTTATAATGTAGGTCTTGTTCTTTTTTGTAAATGCCTTCTGGTTTCCAGACAGTCATGAAAAGCAGCATCAGACAAAACAGGCAGTAAGCTAAGGGTTAGGAAAGGCAGGTTTTGCTCCTCATTGTGCCATTGACTTGCTATCAGAAATACCTGTCTCTTTGTAAGACACTCAGGAGTGAATCAATTGAGTATACTGGTTGAGTGTCCTTGAATGAATTTCCTGCAGACATTCTTTCCTGTCTGTTTGCTGTCTGATTTTTTTCATTGGCAGTGCCAAAACATGAGGATGAGGAGGACAACTGCAGCAGTGCAGTTGGATTTCTGTGAAATTATCTCCTTTCATTAGAGGATTTTGCATTTTCATTTCTTTCCTTTGTTCAGTAAAACCCTGATGTGTTTAAGTGGTGGGCCTGCTGTAGTAAATAGTAATTTCATACTTGACCACTGTTATTTTAGTGATCTTTTGGTATTCGTGTCCTCGTACAACTCTGGCTTGTTCTTTCTCCTCAGTGTGTTTTGTTCTCTTGTATATTACGATCATTACTGTAATGACCCTGACGCTAGATTGAAAGGACGACCTGTTTGCAGAAGTCCCCTTTCCCCCCACTATTTTAAAATTAACGTTGTTCGGGCAATGCTTAATATTCTGTTTTGTTGGGAGCTGTGGTCAGTTGCAGTTGTACTATTTTAGGTGCAGAGTTTGGTGCAACTAATATGCCTCGTGGATGAAACATTGGGCCACCAAATGAATTTAGATGGTCTGTTACTTAATATGCATCAGACTTGATGGCTTGTGACAACTGGGTGGCATTGTGTGTAGAAGCTCTGACAGATAATGTGATGATCATATACAAATTCACAGCTGAATGATCCTTCAGTCAACTTTCCTTTTTGATTGTATGGGCATTTTTTCCTAATTGATTTGTACTGTATGCTACTTCAGAATCTGCTTGATGATGTGGAAGAATTTCATGAGCGTGCTCAAGAAGCTATGATGGATGAGATCCCAGACTCTTCCAAGCTGCAGGAGCTGATAGACATGGGCTCTGGCCTTTATGTAGAACTTCCTGAACTGCCAAGGTTGAAGCAAGAACTGCAGCAGGCACGGTGGCTGGATGAGGTGAGGTCCACCCTCTTGGATCCCCAGAGGGTCACCCTAGATGTGATGAAGAAGCTGATTGACTCAGGTGTGGGCTTGGCACCACACCATGCTGTAGAGAAAGCCATGGCTGAGCTGCAGGAGCTGCTTACAGTCTCAGAGAGGTGGGAGGAGAAGGCCAAGGTCTGCCTCCAGGCCAGGTGAGTGTTCCTTTGCAAACTGTTCTTACAGCTTACACTCTTCTGGGATTCTCAGCCTCTTTTGAGGAGTGTGGTGAAAAGTAGGGGCTTTGAAGCTGTAATGCGGTTTGTTTTTTTTTTTACCTCCTAGCAGTTTGATTGCTCGAGAGTTGGATTTGAGGTTATTGATGAGTTGCAGAACAGTTGACTCCCTATCATGTTGCACAGTGGCAGGAGGCTGTGAGTGTTGCCGCTGTCTTTGCTGTTCATCCCCCTCAATAAAAACCACCGAGTATGCCACACAAGACAGCTTCCTCAGTGTTAAGGAGTTCTGATGCTGTGCCCTTTTGAACTTGATTGTGCAAAGTCCATCAGCTTTCTCACCTCTCCTGGTCTTTGGTAGCCAGTAGCGCCCTCCAAGAATTGAGCCATGGTATCCCACACTGCAGTGTAGTGATGAGTTTGCATCACTAGCCTCTGCAGTTCATGGCTTTAGTTGACTGGCATTTTGAGAGAAGGCTGGAATTGGGTTTTTCTTACTCTAGACCACGCCAAAGCATGATGGCTCTGGAGGGCATCGTGAATGAAGCAAAGAACATCCCTGCTTACCTGCCCAATGTGCTGGCACTGAAAGAAGCCCTGCAGCGGGCTAGAGACTGGACAGCCAAAGTGGAGGCCATTCAGGTAGGGGTTACATCAGGGACTGGAATCTTCTGCTTCCATTCTTTTATTTAGACATGTTCTTTATTCCCAGCCCCTCTACCCACAGAGGTGACCTGAAGGGAAGCCTTGCTGTAGCTGTTAAATGTGCTTACCATGTGCTTACTAAGCCCATGTGCTTGAATTTCTTTTTCTTTTTTGTGCTGGTGTTTCCCTGTTGGCTATCCTATTTCTATTTCCCTTCCTTTTATGCATTTCATGGGGGATGTAAAAGCCAGCAAATTCATTATGCTACAAATGTAACCCTCAAAGGGTATTTGGTATTGAAACTGTTCTGCATACTGTCACTGGAAATACTTAGCTGCAGCAGCAGATGTTCTGCTCACAGGTCTTCAGTTTTAGAGCTGGCTATGGAAATGTTTTTTTTTAGTTTGTTCGCTTTTTCTCCCCCAAATGGTGTAAGATGTAATGGCATTGATGGCCAAAACTTTCAATCTGAAATAGACGAAGTTATGACATCTTAGGTCAGTACCCTCCCCTTCTATTGGTCTACCCATGTAACTTGATCCAAAAGGGAGATGGCTTATGTGATGCTTCTCGGTGTTAATCTCTGGATTGCAACTGCTATTCTTATATCAGATATTTGTTGGGAACTGAAGTGAGAATCCCAACTGGTTTCACATCAGCCTCTGTACAACTCTCAGATATAGTAGCTTGCTGTTAAGCAGACAGCATTTAAGACAACCATCTAGAAATGGATTGTCTTACTCCCTAAGCCAGCTGGCCAAGTCAGAATGACTGTTAAAGTAAAAACTGTATGAGATAGTTTTTTAAAATACCAGTAAGACTGAAACATTGCCCTCCTTTCCTTTCCTATGGAACTCTATTTTAGCTAGTGACAAAATAGTATATGGCTTGAAATTAAGTTGCCCACTAATATAATGGTGGAATCGTTGGCTTAGAAAATTTCTTTTACCCCAGAATGGGAGCAACTATGCCTACTTGGAGCAACTGGAGAGCTTGTCTGCCAAAGGTCGACCAATACCAGTGCGTCTTGATGCCCTGCCACAGCTGGAGTCGCAAGTAGCTGCAGCACGTGGCTGGAGAGAGCGCACAGGAAGGACCTTCCTGAAGAAGAACTCAAGCTACAGTCTGTTACAGGTGAGCAACAGACCCTTCTGTCAGCCTTCAGAAACTGATCTTGATGGCCCTCTGTGGTCTGGAGGGAACAGCTGGTTCAGTTACAGCTGTAACTGGATCTTATTATCCTTTTGATAATAGAATGTAATAAAAAACTTCAGCTGTTCTTGGGTGAAAAGACTGGAAAAGGCAAAAAGTCCATGTTTGGTTAGTTTTGTTTTATGTATAGACAACCTCAGCTGTTACTTTTGAAGAAACAAAACTGTCTTTTTTGGGAGGGAAAGAAGAGGATTTCTTTTTTTGTGTAAGTGTGGAAATGCAGGCCTGAAATGGACGTAGAAGCTGTCTTTAATTGATGGGTGTTTACCTTGTTCCACTGCTTAAATTCTAAGAAAATAGATTAGATAATTTTTAGTATAGTTAAGCAGCTTATAAAATCAGTCAGCTACTCTTTATTTCACTTCAATGAATGTAGTCATTGTCTTTTTTTTTTTTTATAAAAATCATTCAATGTGTTTGAAGATTTATCATATCTACTTGACAGGCTTCCTTTTTCTAGTGAAAACGTTTCCAGTTCTTTCAATGCTTTCTTGTAGGCTGTATTTTTCATACTCTTATCTTGTTGCTATTCTCTGCGGTTTGTCCTCACTTCTAGTGAGATGTCCAAAACCAGACAGAATCTTCTCATTATAGCTTCCCTAGTGCCATGTGAAGTGCAGTAATTATATCTTGTGTCTCAAAGGGGATACTGCTGTTTAATGTTTCCCAGTGGGATCTGCCCCTATTGCAACATCACCACACTGATTTCTGTTCAGTTTATGATGCACTCTAGGTCCAGATTTTTTCTCTGTATTTTTTCTGCCTAACTAGTTATTTAATGTGTACTGGTTTTGCATTTGACTGTTTGTTTTCCTAAATGTATCAATTTGAACTTTACTATATTGAATTTAATTTTCTAGATTTTATATTTTGTATGCCTTCCAACTAATCAAGATTACTTAAAATTTAATTCTTATCCTTAAAAGTGCTTTGCAGCCTCTCATGTTTGATATTAAAAGGCTCATAGCATATTTTTTAGTTTTATTTCAGCCACTAAATTGCTGATGTAAATAGGAAATCATAGCAGATCTTTAAGACTTGAAATCGATGAAGGCACTTGAAGTGAATGTTAAATTACTGATATCTAACTGCATACAATATTTCAGTTAACTGTATATATGACAGCTTAATTTGAATAGATTTTGTAATTTAATCATGAAAACACAGTGGCTTTCAAGTTGACCTGCCACATCGCTGTGGTGCTGATTACATTCAAATTCCATATGGTATGAAATACTTGTATCCTCTTCTGTTCATTTCTCCTCTTCCTAGCATTAATTGACAGATATCAAAGGTGTTAGATTACCGAGTATTTTTTACTCTCTGATGACTCTGTTGCAAGTCCTTTATTAGACGTTCTCATATGTGTCCCTGAAATCATAACATTACAGATCAGAACTTTTTTCTGTTCTTGGCATCCTTGGCTCTGACAGTGTAAGTTTTCTTGGTGGTTACAGGTTCTGAGCCCTCGGACTGATATTGGTGTTTATGGGAGCAGTAAGAATAGGCGGAAGAGGGCAAAGGAATTGATGGAGAAGGAAAAGGAGAAAGATCTTGACTTGGAATCCCTAAGTGAACTGGAAGATGGGCTGGAGGAGGCCAGGGACACTGCAGCTGTGGTAAGGAGCAATGAGAGGTAGTGTCTCCTGATACGTGGGTTTAATTTGTCTCTAATCTGTGTAGAAATCTTATGGAAGAACTGATAAATTAATCTCACTGAAACTGATATCTCATAATATGTTTGACACAAGAATATAGTTCGGCTTTAATTGCAGTGAAAGTAGAGGGAAGCACAATTCAGAGTGTAAGTGCTGGTATTTAATATGTGTTGGGCTATGTGTAAGACTTAAATGCTCTTGGGTTAATATCTGTGGCTGCTCATCTAGTATTATTAACATTTATTGAAATCCCATTAAAATGTGGAATGAAGTGCAGCTCTACCTTGAACAGTATCAAGACATATTTGGTTAGGTTGATTTTGAGGGCAGCCTGGAAGTTCTTGGTCGTAGAAACTGGGCTGGGGGGAATGTTATATTTGATTCCTCCTTGTTGGGGAGGATATTGATGCAGTTTATCAGAAGAGTTTGCTGTCATGTGGCTTCCCTTTCTCCAGGAACAAAGAAAATATATGCAGGCTCAATAATGTGCCATATACACAGTCTATTTTACCTTAGTATGCTTTGTTATAGTTACTTGAATGGAGACACTGAGGAAGTGCAAGTTGCTTCAGGAGATATGTAGTCACTCTCACACTCCTGGTGCTGAGTCAACATTGAAACAATGCTCAGCCGCATTGTCTTGGTAGACAGATGGGTGGAATGGATTCTGACTTCTTTCCTGGAGTCAAAACCTATTCTTCTGGTGCCTTATGATAGATTTAATTATGAACTTCAGAAACTTTGTAGATACAGAGAAGGTTATCTAAAGTTTACATAAAGTCTCTGGCAGAAGGACTCAGGGGACTAATGAGTAATTGAGGAGGAGGTATTTTAGCTAAAGTTTTAATTAGGTCACACAATTCCTAAATTTTGGGCTAGTTTAACTGGGAAGATCTCCATACGTTTGGGAGTTGTTTGTTTTTTCCCTTTTCCGACATTGCTAATAAATGTGATCTCTCTTAGCTGTGAAGGTCATGAACTGTGTTTTGTCTTTGCTGGGTAGGTGGCTATATTCAAGGAACGGGAACAGAAGGAGATTGAAGCCATGCATGCTCTCAGGGCAGCTAACCTGGCCAAGATGACTATGGTGGATCGGATCGAAGAAGTCAAATTCTGTATCTGCCGCAAAACAGCTAGTGGATTCATGCTACAGTGTGAGCTGTGCAAAGACTGGTTTCATAGTGGATGCGTGCCCCTTCCCAAAACAAGTTCTCAGAAGAAGGGCTCTAGTTGGCAGGCCAAAGAAGTAAAGTTTCTGTGTCCACTTTGCATGCGTTCTCGAAGGCCACGGCTTGAGACAATACTGTCTCTGCTGGTGTCCCTGCAGAAGCTGCCTGTACGGCTGCCAGAAGGGGAGGCATTGCAGTGCTTGACAGAACGTGCCATGAGTTGGCAGGACCGAGCACGGCAGGCTTTGGCCACTGACGAGTTGTCCTCTGCTTTGGCTAAGCTTTCTGTGCTCAGCCAGCGAATGGTGGAGCAGGCAGCACGGGAGAAGACGGAGAAAATAATCAGTGCAGAGCTCCAGAAAGCAGCAGCTAACCCAGACCTGCAGGTAGAGATGTGGATATCTTGCTCTTTACCATGCTTGTCCTTCTGGGGTGTGTCTAAATGCCTTACCTTTCTTGGAGAAGCTTGGGGGAGAGGGGAGGGCAGTTAAAGGCTGAGAATTAGACATACCAAAATTATCTAGTTCAGTGCTCCTCAGGCTATGGCTGGCTTCAGTCAGTTACAGGCTGCTCCGGGGACAGGCCTGTACTTTGTACTCACTGTCAATAGCAACTGTTGAAGGTGCTTGTAAGAAACCCTGGTTCAGATATAACAGCCGGCTGAGAGCCTGAAGATGTGTAAAGCAGTGGCTGCTTTGGTGTCCAAATTCCATTTCCTTCTTGACAGAATTGAAGGTCTCAATATTTGTAATTGCTCATGGATTGTCATTCTCAGGCATTTGGTGTCTTGTTAGTAAATTCCAGTGAGGACTATAGGCAAACACTGGTACTTTTACAGCTGACCTCTTCATCTTGAGATTGAGACCAGTAATCAGATGATGCTGTGGTGAAGAAGTTTGTACAACCACAGGCTATAATTTGGTAGCACTGAACAGCAATATCTAGATCTTTCTAGTCACTATTATTCATAAACATGGAAACAAAATGTAATGGAACCTTTTCCTTGGATATTTGCCTATTTTTCTTCACATCTGGCTGTAACTATGCTTTTCTGTGACTGCCTAGGCAGTTACACTCAGGCCAAAAGAACCACTGTTTTCTTTGTCAGTAACTCAGTTTTTTTATAGATTTTTCTGGAAATTTTATTGTTTCATTCCTATATTCCATTTTTATCTTAGGGACACTTGACTAGTTTCCAGCAATCGGCCTTTAACAGAGTGATAGGGAGTGTGTCCTCATCCCCACGGCAGACTTTAGATTATGATGATGAAGAGACAGACTCTGATGAAGACATCAGGGAAACGTATGGCTACGACATAAAGGTAAGTAGTCCAGTGTGGCTTGTCTACATGGAATTAATCCAGAACACCTGTTTTTTATTAATTCAGTTTATTTAAGAATATTTTTCTTATCTGAAGCTATCTCTATACATTCTGCCTGGGTTCCTGTTGCAGAAGAGGTACTTTTTGATTTTACCTGAATGTCTCAGCTCTGGACAACTTGGGAATTTTTGTAATACTTTTATTCAAAATTTCCAAATGTCCTGTGATTGAGTTTCAGAAGGTGCTTTTTAGTGCTAAGGAAAAAGATACACTTCTCAAGGGATTTGTATTTATAATACCATGGAGGATGGACGTTGTCTTCATGCCCCATTCAGAGACACCATGAATCATAAACATCATATAAGTGTCTATGTGGAGAGTTCTTCAACAGTTTTTTCTACAGCAAAAAATTAGTCTTTGAAAACTGCATATGCTGTACCAAGTTTCCTGATGCCAGAGCTGCTTTCACCTTTCCATACCTTTCTTTTCATTCAGCCCTTGTATAAAGGAGGTATATCTGTTCAATTTTGGATGTGTGGAAATACTCAGAACTAGATGTCTGGATCATGTTGTAAAATTAGTGTCTGGATTCAGTTCAGAAATTGTAACTGCAGTTAAATTTTTAAAATATATTAGAGAAGAAGTGTCATGAGAAAAGGCAATTGTAGAGATAGCCAAGTGTTTTCAGTCTGATGTGTTTCACTTCAGAACTTCTGAAATGTCCTTTTGATACATGTAGAGTCAAAACCAATGCCACTGTTTCTTCTTGTGCAGTGTTTTCTTCTTAGCGGTGGTGTCATATCTACCTTAAAAGATGCTAACTTAAATTCTTCTGAGGTAGCTTTTCTGGTTTATAAAGGGACAGCAAATTTTCCAGGTATGATTTGCCTCAGTCTCTTATTTTTAGTATTTTGTTTCTGGGCAGCTTTATGCAAATACACACATTTGTCTTACAGTCCTATGTGAAATGCCAACAAGAGTACATAGCAATTGGATGTTACAGCTTTTAATTAAATTAGTTTTATATTAAAAAAAAAAATAATTCCAAACTGTTCAGTGCATCAGGAGTCATAATAAGGGATTTCTGAAAGATGTGGCATTTTCTGAGGCTGTCATAAAGCATACGTCAAGAAAAATGGCATATGCTTGTCAGAATCTGAGGGTTTTGCAGGAATTTAATTTAATTTGTATAATGATTCTGTTGTCATGATTTCAAAATCTGTTATTTAGCCCTTTTGATTTGGCTGTTCATCACTATATGTAATTGGAAAAACCTAAAAATAAAAATCTGTTGAAGCAAAGCTGATAGGGACCCAAAATGTCTTTTGGTAGGTCAGCTAACATGGTAGGAATAGAAGACAAACTTTCAGGCAACCAAATTCTTCAGGTCTGAACTAGAAGCAGCAAAGTTCAAAAGAGCTAGCAAAGTTAGCTCAGAGTTTAATTATTTTTATACTGTTGGCTTTCAAGGGTTGGGTTTTTTCAGTTTGTGATCTATAAACATTTTCCAGTGGAGTGATGTGTTTAAAAAAAAAAGTATCTAGATTATGATGCATCATGTATGAATATGCTCTTAATACTTCCTGTGGACCTTGTAGAAGTAATCCTTGGATCCCTAAGGGTCCATAGACCGTATTTCCAAAGCCATGGTCTCGGACATCTCAAGTACAAGCAGTGGTTAAAAAAACATGTGAAAAGGCCTGTTTGATTATATTGTGCTTCTTGTAATTAAAACATGATTCTTGCCAGCAAATACTTCATTATGAGTGCAATAACTAGACTTGTTTTAAGATGTATTCCAAACAGTCAGACAAATTCACTGGTCAAATTTACTGTAAAATTTCCCCTTTAATTGCCTTCATTTTTTTCTCATGTATTTTTTTCTCATTCCTTTGCACCTGTGTTGCCTATGGCCACCAAATGGTGATACCTTTTTATTAATTTGCCTATTGGCCCTGAACTTTCTTTAATCTAGTATAATGTGATATCCAGAACAAGATACTACACGGGATACAACCTTTACTATGGAGAAATATCTTCCTCTTTCTGAATATATTTATTCTACCTTTTCATCTGGGCAATTTAAATCTGAATTTCCCACTTCTGGTTCTGTACTGAAATCATTAGTGTGCACTTCACTTCGTTTTAAGAGTGTGACTGAAAGCCAGAGAGAGATTACATTCTCAAACTCCCTTTTTATGTCATGAAATGACAGTGTCTGGGTGGTACAATTTCCTGAGTTGGCCATTTTGGGACCCACACGGCTAATCTTCAGGTAAATATTGTCAATAACTGCTCTACAGCCTTTCTCTTCTTTTAAGCCAGCTTCTTGGGTTTTGTTGTTTTCTGAAAGATTTCAGTCTTACATGGGATGCTAAGTGTGTTTAAAGCGTTGGCCAGTTTCATCACAAATGTGATGGGGTAGCTAAGTTCTGGGAAGTGTTGTGGAAATAGACAGCTGGTTGAGGAGATTATCTTTATTAATTTCACCTGCAGAGGTGAGTAAGAAGAGGGAGAAGTTAGTAATAGGGAGCATCAGGGAATCTACTCAAATGGGCTTGTGCCTTCTCTGGATTCTCTGCCTAATGTAATGCAAAGTCAAACAAAGCTTCTCCCACTGCTAAGAGATTCCTAATATCTTTTCTCTTAATGGATCCACCTGCACCTGAAGGCTTGTGTCCCATTTCAGAGTGTGATGCATCTAAAAAGTCAAGCAGCCATCCTACACAATGCATTGAGCTAAGCACAAGCCAATGCCATCATATTCTGTTCATGGAAATACAACAGTCTCAAGTATTAGCAGCCCTCTTCCTTTCAGTGTTTGGTCCTATCTTAAAATGGTTCAAGACTGCCATAAAAGTCCTGATCCCAGGGCAACATTTGATTGTTTGCCATTGTGTTGATATTGTTGCTATGCTGGGAACACCCTGGTTTTCCTCACCTATAAGATCTTTAATAATTTCTTTCTACAGTAAACATTATTTACTCAGCATACCCCTGCTTTACTAAAGGTGCTGGTCTTTATGGTCTTGCAGTCAAATTCTTCAAGCAAAAAAAAATAATTATATAGGCTAAGAGTAAGCCTCTGTTCATTATGTTGACTTCTGAAGACCATGCTTGAGGAACTGCTGAGTGAGGGAAATTGTCCAGTGTTTCTCATGCACTAGCTATAAATCTGTTGACCTATCTTCATAGTTGCTGTGTTCATCCACTATTTAAATAGGGATGTAACTTGTACCTTTTGCCACGTGGTCTTGGTGTCTCTGGTGGGGTGCTTCACAGTAGGGGTTTAGGAACACCGGATTGGTCGGTCTTAGTAGAATTTACTTTGAAATAGGTATTTTCTGGATCCAGATGTTACATGTTTTCTGTGGGTCTTTTTCAGGACAATGCCAGTGTAAAATCTTCTAGCAGCTTGGAGCCCAATTTGTTTTGTGATGAGGAAATCCCCATTAAATCAGAGGAAGTGGTGACACACATGTGGACTGCTCCCTCATTCTGTGCCGAACATGCGTATTCGTCTGCTTCTAAAAGCTGCTCTCAAGGTATTTGCTTTTGTATACATTGAGATAAAATTGAACAGATAGTTGGGATGAGCAGTCAGTAAGGAGGGTAACTGCTCTGTTACCTGTGCTAGTTGTAAAGGACATGTTGTTTGGAAGAAGGTAGTGTTACATTGCAGTTAGTTTCCTGAAGTCTGATATATAAACCTGTGTCAATGTTTTTGCTTGGGATTGTCTCCCTCCTTAGATTGTTATTGCAGAAACTATGTCATTTCTTTTGGTTTTTATCTCTTCCTTTTATCCTTGTATGACTTCCTTCCTGTCTGAAAGGTTCTAGCACTCCAAGGAAGCAGCCTCGGAAGAGTCCACTGGTACCTCGCAGTTTGGAGCCCCCTGTATTGGAGCTGTCACCTGGAGCGAAAGCTCAGCTAGAAGATCTGATGATGGTAGGAGATCTACTAGAGGTATCACTGGACGAGACGCAGCACATCTGGCGGATTTTACAGGCTACTCATCCACCCTCTGAGGATAGATTCCTTCATGTCATGGAGGTATGGAACTTGAAGAAATATTCTGGTACAAAAAATCCCCACAACCCACATTATTTTGGTGTTTTGTTTTGTTTGGTTTTTTTTTTTTAAATAATCTTGTGTAGTTGAGTGCTTAGTTACTTGACACGTTTGGATTTCAACTGGGGAATAGTAGATTCCAGAAAATAACAGAGTACGAGATCCAAAAATTCAGTTCTTGATCACTCATGCCGTAGCACTGTCCTCTACAATTAACCATATTTAGAACAGTTTTCTCAGGCAGTTCCATATGCAAACCTTATTTTAGAAGATACAAGGTTAGGGAAGGAAATGCTGTTCTCGATTACACTTGGAATCAAAACTGATCTGCAAAAGAATTACAAGAAACATTTAGGAAGATGAAAAGTCTGCACTTAGTTTATACAACTTGATACTTATATGTTGCTGAACTTTTTTTGTTACTGGGGAAAGAACACTTTTTTTAATAAAACATGGTTTGGTAATGCAGGTAATAAGATTCCTATTCTGCCTCAGAATAACATAGACATAGCAATTTTTTTATTAATATACTGTGAAGATGTGCTGATCGCTGCTCAGCTGACAATGAATGAGGCAGGCTTATCTGCTGATTCTGAGGTCTAGTCCAAATCACTTAGCCTCATTCATGCAGTAGGTAAGTGGTGTGTGCGAATGAGGGGTGTGCTGGAAGAGAAGGTAAACTCTTGTGTTGAGCAGCTGTACTGGAACCCCTCCTTTATCATCTGTCAGCTGAAGTTAGGAGTCAGTTTGACCATGTGTGGTTATGGAGTATATGATTGCTTTTTGGGTTACTGAAATGCACAGGAAATATATTGAAGATGGTTCGTTCTTGACTTTTTGGTAGTGTACAGTAATATAAGATGGAGGGTTACATGCTGTGAACAGTGAGGTTAGATGAGCATATTAGTTGGGTTGTCTCCTTTTCTGAGTGCCATCCGTATACAATGGATAAGTCAAAGTGTTGCCAAACTGCCATCACTTCAGACAGTAGTATAAAGCAGACCCTGCCTCCAAAGAGGTACTGCTTTACCATCTTTTGTCCCAAGTACTTCACTTCATAAGCTTAATGTTCTTTTAATGTAATGGTTTTGGCATGGAATTGATTGAAGAAGCAGTTTGAATGCCAGCAAATAATAATTTATAAATAGTATGCCAGAATGTTATATGAATAGTTAAGCACAGCTTTTGGGGGGGGGGAGGGGCCTAAGAGGGTGTGTGTGTCATGGCATTTTCTATTTAACCCTTATGAATACTTGTTTGACCAGAACTACTCATTTTGAATTCAGTACCTTTCTATGTCTACCTATTTTGCATGTAAATAGACTTTTGTAAAATAATCTTCAGAGGATTTGGTTTTGGGTGGAGTAGCTATATTAAGTAATGTACAGTAAAACAGAGTCTTTACTGGCTTATAGTATGTCCTTAATCTATTAATTATTAAGGTTAAAGTATATAGTTGGATTAACTGAAATTGTCAGTCCTGTTTGTACAGATGAGTTATACATGTGAATCTTTTAGATATAAATAGAACTTGTCACTGTGGATGCTACCTGTGTGACAGAGTTTGCCAATTTTAAGCCTCACTTTGATCTGAATCTGCTATTTAAGAGTTGTTAATGATGCCAGGATATTTACAATGTGTGCCAGTTTGGAAGCTATTCAAATAATGGATCTGTTACTTTCTTCTTTTGCTTGAGTAAGAATTCACCAATTGCTCTTTCTTAATCTCCAGAGTAACAATTGCTTTCTCTCAAAAATAATTACAGACAAGACTGATCTAGGATGAAAAATAAAGCATGTAACAAATGATTAATCTTCTCAACTTTTATTAAAGAGCAATGCAAGAAGGGAGTTGTAATTATTCCTTATTCTGCCTCCTTACACTTGCTGATGATTTACTTTCCGCACTGGACATTTTTGATTCATTGTACTTTGTCACAGTTGATACCACTTATGATTTTTTTTCTAGTATGGCAAAATTAAAGTTGAGCCCCTTTTTCTTTAGCATCTGTAACAGTATGTTGTTGAATAGCTTTCTTCATACCGTGTCAGGGTAATGGTGGAGGTAAGTTCATCTCTCAAACCACAGGTTTGCAGTATATGGAAATTTGCATTAGAAAACAAAAAATCTCTTTTCACTCTTTCTATGAAGGATGACAGCATGGATGAGAAACCACTGAAAATGAGAGGGAGAGACTCTTCTGAGAGGAAGCGGAAACGAAAGCTGGAGAGAGCAGAGCAGTTCTTTGGAGATATGAAGCAAAAATCTAAAGAGCTGAAAAAACTGGAAAAACCCAAGAAAAAGAAGCTAAAACTCACCATGGATAAGACAAAGGAGCTAAACAAGCTAGCAAAGAAACTAGCTAAGGAAGAGGAGCGAAAGAAGAAGCGAGAGAAGACAGTTGTCACAAAGGTGGAACTAGCAAAGGAGAGCACAGAGAAAAAAAGAGAGAAGAAGGTTCTAGATATTCCTTCTAAGTATGACTGGTCAGGAGCGGAAGAGTCGGATGATGAGAATGCTGTATGTGCTGCACAGAACTGCCAGAGGCCCTGCAAGGACAAAGTGAGTTTTCACTTACCTGTCATAGGCAATTCCATGCAAAGTCTAAAACCCCAGTGTAATTTAATAATTAGGTTGAACAGCATAAGCAACAAAAGTGGTATGATAGAAGTGAGAGAGGATTGAGTAGTACTTGGTTAGGTACACAGATGTAGTAGATAAAACTATAGAACTTCCTTATTCTCTTAGGTACTTTAAAACAGGAGAAGGTGGAAAATTAGAATCTGGGAAAAGGTACTCTGTCTTGGTTGGGAAGTTTAACCTGTTCAAGCTATTTAATTTTTTGCTAGCTATGTGCAACATGCACTGGCTGATTCAGAGGATTAATTCTTTGACTCAGCTAGAAATGTTCCTGACTTCAGTGTGTTTCTGAACAGAAGTGGGATGTGCGATGTTCTTAAATGAAATAAATTTTCTGTATTTCTTGCCTACAGCCTGTGAACAGTGATGCTGCAGGCTGGGGGACCTACAAACTGCATTGCTTCATACTTCTTGTTGGAGATAAATAATCAGTGATTTTAGACTTGATTGGATTATTACAAAAGAAACTTGATCTACCTCTCTCTGTGGTACTGCCTGATTGTCAGCTTTTAACATGGACTAATTTATGGTCAAAAATTTTTTTTTCAGAATGTTTATTTTCTGCTTTTTAGAAAGAAGGAAAAAACCACTCCCAGTAGTAACTGTGGGATTGACACTGTACTGCACTGGCTTGCACAAGAGAGAGTAGGGACAACTACAAATACCAAGAACTTTTATTTCTTGTTTCGCAAAATTGAAACATAAAATTCAAGTGTTCATTAGAACATTTAAAAAGACCAGTTAAAAGACCAATTTTGAAGTCTTAGACCAAGTTTAGAAATTACACTCAATCACTCAAAAGATGATACAATCTTTGTACCACTGTTCTCTTTACTTCACAGACGATAATTAGCTTATATTAGTACATTTTTACAGAAATTGAGATTGCAAGAGGGAGGAGAGTGCCTTTAAATTCCTATTACAAAGAAGGTTGTACTAAATTTATCAAACTGCCATAAGTGAAACTGGTTGTATAATCAAAGCTTTTAACGGAATGACTGTCTTGCCATAAGGTTGGATGTATTTTTGTACATTCAACAGGTGAATGCCATACAAGCAAAAAATGGCAGATACAGGAATGTAATGACTGAAGCTTCAGCTGTTAGTGTCCATTACTAGTCACTTTTAAAAATTTGTTCAGGAGCAGTTTTCTGACAAGCTAAAGTAAAATCTTGAGCTGATAATATTTCTTCATTTTAGATAGGTTGCCACTACTGTTATTTTTGTAATATATTTCCATTGTCACGTTCCCCTGCAAGGTGAAGGCAGAACTACAGCAGTAACAATTTTTATAGCTGTACCAGTGCATGCCATTAAAATTAAGAGTCTGTGTTCCTTATCCTGCAGATCTCAGTTTCTGCCCACTGACTCAAATTAACATGTACTTTTACTCGGGGAACTACAGAAATCTAATATTCATCTTTTTTCCTTCCTAGGTTTTAATTTAGTTTTTATGCCTTTTCTTAATTGTTCTATAGCAAGTTCAGCTCAAAGTTTGAAATACTTTAGCTTAAATGTTCTGACACTTTGGAGTTAGAGTTTGTGTGTGTTTTTTTGGCATTTGGTGGCCAGCTGTATACTCAATATCTAACTGGTAGAAAAGTATTAAAGCTGCTGATGTCATGTGGCTTTTTATTAGCCAAAAGCAGTAATCAAGTCCTTTCGCTTTCTGTATTTTTTAAGTTGCAAAAGCTACTATTTGATAACATGGTCTAAGGGGATATATATAATTTAGGATGTGTATTTGTAGACTCAATTATTCTGAAGTAACTGTCCCTGAGCACGCTCCTATTTTAAATGTGTTCTCGCGTAACCTGTCTTTCATTTGAGGAGAGCTGAGTGTCATCTTCCTCAACAGTAGTAGTGTGTGTTTGTGGTGTTGTGGTCTAAGGATGCAAGAGGGGCAAGGTTTGTTGGAAGAGTGTTACTTTTTATTAAACTGAAGCGGCTTGTTAAAACAAGCTCTATAAGGCCTTAATTTGTGCCCAAAAGCTTTTGTGTTCTAGGTGTATCAGGTGGGTTTAATAGAAGATATTTTCTTCATAGAAACTATCCCTATCTGTCTTTCCTTGTAATGTGCTATGTGTTGCTGATCTGATCTCTTGCAGGTGGATTGGGTGCAGTGTGATGGTGGCTGCGATGAGTGGTTTCATCAAGTTTGTGTTGGTGTCTCTCCAGAAATGGCTGAGAATGAGGATTACATCTGTATAAACTGTGCAAAGAAGCCAATGCAGGGACCAAGTAGCCCTGCTCATGCACCACCTCCTCCATTCTTATTGAGCTACAAACTACCAATGGAAGATCTTAAGGAGACAAGTTAGCAACTACTCGATGTTTGGAACTTTTTGGGAAACGGACCACTGAAACCCTTCAGAAAGAGAGGGTTTGAAGCTAATGTAGCCACTGAGCTTCACTTCCAAGGATGTACAGACCTGCAGCAGAGTTGGTCCCTTCCTTACAGCTGGCTTCCTTCATACAATGAGGACGTCAAGGCACAGTGGTACCAACTCATCTATGCAGCCACCACCTGATTAGGAGTTCCAGCTAGTGTTTTCTGACTCGAGTATTTCCATCTTTGAGTGTGGCTGTTGCTCTTGGAGACTGAGCAAACCCAAGGCTGTTAGATTAGACACTTCAGGGTGTTAGAAGTACATGTTGGCAGTGGAGCTGGCCTGGAATTGGTGGGCATAGGCTGGAGCTTTTAGGCCTACCAGGTTACCCTAAGGAGGTGACTTTGTAAGTTATCTTTTGCCTCCCCATGCCAACCCATGAGTAGGGCAATGTCTTGGGAGAGTTAAGTTGCCTCCATATCCAGGCAGCTAACACTACACTATAAGGATGGGAGCAAGTGGATGAATTTCTTTTAATTTCTCTTTTGTAGCTAAAGGGCAGAGGAGCTCATGATCTCAGAAATCAGCAAAGGTTCTGTTTACCAAAAAAGAAACCCAACTCTACTCCACTAGGCAAAATTTTTTCCTTAGTGGGGAACAGCTGATCTTCCTGTCCTGAGGAGGGCCAGAAAACCTTGATGAAGATGTCTAGCTAGACCAGAGCTTGGGAAAAGCAGAGTGCTTCCCTTTCCACAGGGCTGCCCTCTCCTGTTCTAGGCTTTGCTTAGAATTCTGCACTCCTGCACATTAAAGTTGTCTCACGCAGGATGGAGCTGGCAAGGAGGTACAGCACCCAGGGCACCAGCTTCTGTGATCTGTACCCAGGGATGGGAAGGAAAGAAGACAGCCCACTTACCTCAGAGGTTACACTGACATGTGCTTCTGTGAAAAGTTTCACTCACAACTATTTCCAGTATCACCAGGCTACGGGCATGGCCTCAAGCGATACCAGCAAGCAGTCTGCAGATACTGTTCGCAGCGCAAATCCCCCTCCCTGCTGGCTTTGCTGGATGTGTACCAGTGTACAATCAGCAACAGTTCTTGTTTGAAGTTGCCCCTGGCTTTGCCAGAGGACCAGAGGGCTTGGGGTCATCCTGGGTGACAGTTGTTTTAGTAAATCCATTTTTAAAGAAGGACTTGTTTTTACTTTTTTCTAAATGTCTCAGACTACTGACTTGTTCTATAAATAGATTATTTTTCTTTGATTTTTTTATACTTACCACTGTTAACCAGCAGCACAGACAGAGGTTCACAAAGCAAAAACCTGCCCGTGGGCTTGGGTTTTTTTACTCCATTCCTTCCTTGTAGTACAAGGAATTAGCAGTTACCTTCCCCATTCTAGCTTGACCAGCTGCCTGTGTTTAAATAGGTAAATACATTTCATGTGCTACCTTTGTGTTTGGGTTTGTTCCTATTAGTGGGGCATCTGGGCCTTAATGACTCCAGTGGATGCTGGCTTTGTGTATGTGAATGTCTGAAGCCAGCCACTGGGCTGTCTTGTCCCCCTCTCCACTCGCTCCCTATTGTGTTTCCATTCTTCTGCAGTTCTAGGAGTGTTGTAAGTAGTGTCCAGTCTTACTAGGAGCTGGATTGGGATTTAAAGAAACATTGACAAAAACAAAAGTGTTCTGTCTTGACTGTTCTGTGTCCCTTCTCTTGTTCTCTAATATTTGGAAGTTTATTTATCTGGCAGAATTATCCATCCAAAAAAAAATTCAGCTCAGGTAGACGAACTTTATTGGTTTGTTTTATTTGTGCCTGCTACCTGGGAAGAGGAAGATGTGCAAAAGAAAAAGAACTAAGATGGAGGGCAGAAGATACAGGGTCTTGGGAGCTTTGAGTGCAAATTGGGCACAGACTTCTAATTCCTGCTCCTTAAGACTGATATGGTGTTAAAAGCAAAAGCAAGCTGTGGTTAAGCATGTGGCTGAACGGGCACCCTAGCAAACTTAAGAGTATTATTTGTTTACTTATTTATGAAGGAGTCTATGCTATAGCTAGACGTACCCTCCTTTTGCCTCCAGTTACATTTTTTTTCTTCTCAATGTATGCTTAGTTTTGGTAAACTGGTTTAAACAGATGTTACTTTCCTTCAAGCTTTAACTGATGGTACTACATAAATGTTTCCCTATATGGAGTGGATAGACTATCTGTCACAGATGTTTTAATCGTTCCAGAAGTAGACTAGTACAAGATTTCTTAAAGAATCCCAGTGTTCTGTATTCTTTCCTGACTCCTAGAATCGTGACACAACAGGGAAAATATGGTTAGCACATCTTGTTAGCCACTGAGCATATCCTCTTAACCATTCCTACATTCTCTGTTGTGATAAAGTCATTGTTATATGTAATTACCATCAACTGGAAAAGAGATCTTTTAGTAAATCTGCATTGAATGTTCCTGTTTCTCTGAGTAGAAGGTGTGGTGGAGAATGTTAACAGCAGCACTAGTTGGAAGGAGAAGGAAACAAACAGCTATACGATGGCAATGGTCAATCATTCTGCTTATAACAAGCATAGAAAAGAGTAAACAACAGAAAAATGTGCAAATTATGTGCAAAAGGTCACATTTTTAGTAGCTCTTTTTCATATTATCAAATGGAGAGGCTCTTTATTACACTGTCGAAAGGAGGTTGCCACACTTTCTAGTTACGGATGTCTCATCTGCTTTTGGGTAAGGTGTTCATAAACAGAAGACCATTATTAGCTTTACATCTTACTGTTTAAGCTTATTTTTTAAGAGCATAATTCCTATCAAATGATTGCTAATAGTATGAACTTACAAATAAATGTTAACTTTTGGAAAAATCTGTAGATATGTAGTTAGTGGTTGAAAAACCTAAAGCTACAGCTGTGGTATTGTCTCCAGATCTTAGGGTTTTGAATTTTTATAAGAATCATATGCAAAGAAGCAAGCAAGTTAAGCTAAGGAATTAATTTTCTTATGGGTCTGCTACAGCTGTAGGAAAAAATCTCTCAAGCTTTGGGGACAAAGTCTCAGTATGCACAAAATCTTAGCTCGTGTGTATCTAGAAAGGTACATGTCTCAATGCTATATTCTACAAAGGATACTAGCCACTCTTCATGTTATTTCTCTTCCTGTGTCTGACATAAAAGGTCAAAGAAATTACCTGAGCTGTTGTGAGGAACTAAAAATGGCCAAGACTTGAGTTGTGTATCTTATCCAAACCATGAGGTTTCAAGCGGGTTTTTTTTGAGAATGAGGGCCTGGAATTGGGTAGCTTTACTTGCATAGAGATAAACGTCACTCCTGAACTTCAGTATCGTTACATTTAGGATTTATGCTTTTGACAGATCGTCTGTAGCTGAATGCTTGTACAGCCTGGACTATTTGATAATGAGGGCTTAAGGTAAGACTGATGATATTATGGAAATTATTTTAAGTTATTTGACTACAGTCACACAGCATAAGATAACAAATAGATGTCTGTGTGGTTGTTAGCCACGCTGTGAAATTTGTATTGATCTTTTCAGTTTTTAGAATCATAGAGTAATTTAGGTTGGGGGGACTTCTGGAGGTCATCTGGGTCAACCTCCTGACCAAAGCAGGGCTGACTTTGAAAGTAGGTCAAGTTTTTCAGGACTGTGTCCAGTCAAGTTTTAAGTATTTCCAGGGATGGGCATTCAACAACCTCTCTGGCTTCCTGTTCCAGTTTTGTAGCATCTTCAGTGCAAACTTTGGTCTAATGTACAGTCAGAGATTCACTTGCTGTAGCTTGCCTGTTGCTTCTTGAAGAGTCTGGCTCCGTATTTGCTGTAACCATCCATTAGGTGGTTGAAGACTGCAGGTCCTGCAGCCTTAATTTCCAAGCTGAACAAACCCAGCTTACCTTCCCTTGAGCCATGTCATGAGCTGCAGCCTTCTAACAATCTTGGTGGTCCTCAGCTGGACTTGTTGCACGTTTGTCAGTGTCTGATTTTGTACTGAGGAGCCTAAAACTGGATATGTTACTCCAGATGCAGCTTGCAAGTGTTGAATACGGGGGAAAAATAACTCCCTTTAATGTGCTGGCTGTGCTTTTACTGTGCAGCCTGGTACAGGCTTGGCCTTTATAGCTGCAAGGGGGCACATAGCTGACTCCTACTCATTGTGTCTGCTGTTAGCCCCAGGTCCCTTAGTTTATTATTTCTCAAGTGCAGGACTGATGAACTTAAACTTTCCATCAGCGTGTCACTCCAAGATCTAACTGAATGGGAGCCCTCTCCTCCCATGTTTTGGATTGCCCTGTTCCTGTCCCCCACCAACATTGTTTGGTGTCATCTGCAAAGTTGAGTGTGCTCTATCCCATAACCCAGGTGGGTAAGACTTAAAATAGTAGTGTCCAGTACCAGCCCCTGAGGTACTGCACTTGCAGCTGGCCACCTTCTAGATTTCAAATCGTTGACTACTAAAGTCTGAGCACAGCAATCCACCCCATTTTTCACCCCCACTGTAGGCTGTCCATCCACTCTGTAAGTGTCCTTTTGCTGTAAGTCAGGGTAAGCATCCACTGCTCTCCCGTTGTCCGCAGGGTGCATCACAGAAGGCAACCAGACTGGGCTAAGATTATAGTGATGACTATTACCAGTCACCTTATCCCTCATGGACCTGGATGTGGCTTTGAGGAAGATTTGTTCCATAATCTTCCCAGGGTCCAGGGTGAGGCTAGCTGCCCTGTAGTTCCCCTCACCCTCCTCGTTTTCTCCTCTTCGTTGAATGGGCATGATGGGGCATGATGTGCAGAGGGGTTCATCACAATCCATCAAGAAAACAATCTTCCATACAATTTTCCTAGGCTTTGTTCATCCTTGTGGCGTGTAAGATTTGAAGGAAAAAAACAATGTATTTGAATTATTGTTTGTAAGATGCATGGAAAACTAAATGTCAGAACCAAGCTTCTTCAAGTGCTGCTCATACCTAAACTCCATGTGGGCTAGTGAGCAATTATGTCAGTCCCATACACGCAGATACAAGTCTAAGCTGGTCAGGTTGAATTCAATGTGATTGATGCATGGTCTGTACAGAGTTCTTCACACTGGAAGAAAGGCATCATAGGAATGAGCATGAACAGGGGCATCTAATCTTCTAGGAGAAATGGAACAGTCTACAGCTTTGTTCGTTCAACAGTAGTCTGTTTAGTAGGCAGCCATCCAAGGATAGCTATCACCTTTATTTTGGGTTGTTCTAATAACGGTTATTAGAATAAGCACAGCACAGAGTCGTAGCAAAGTAATGTAAAAAGTATTCAGGTATTCATCAATTGCTTATCAGATGTGCCTTACTGTCATTCTAGGTAAATGTTGCATACCCTTAAAAATAATGACTGGTTTAAAGAACCGCTGTATGTTGGGAATGAAGGATTTGAAAAAGGTGGGAAAAGTTTCTTGAAATAATTCCTGAAATCACTGTTAATGCCTCTGTAAGAAGTTGAGAACTGTCATCTGCTAAAAGCAAGATTTGAGGCTTCCTTGAGTTAGATGAAAATGAAAAGCAGGGAACTCCTTCAAATCCTCTCCAGCTGCAGTCACTAAGAATGTGTTTGGTCAGCCTGCCTGAACCAAACAGGAACTCTGCTTGGACCACCGAGGCAGTGGGGAGATGCAATAAATCCAGTCCTTATCAAAATTCTAGCCACGCTGGCTTTGGGAGGGTGATAAATGCATAGGACAGCTGGAAACTGCACAGCAAGACACTGAGAGCATTGAGCCTTATGTAATGAGATGGCTTGGTACAAATGAATGTTAAGTTGCAAGGTAAAGGCAATGAAAGTAGCAAGGATTTATTGAAAAACAGAAATATTTGTAAGGAGACATGCTCTGAATGCCTTTGAAACAAAAGTTCTGCTGCAGTGAATAGTTTTAGTCCTAGATGGGGCATTGTGTCTCAATTGGAGGCTTTTCAGAGACCAATTTTTGGCAGTCTGTATATCACCCCCAACCCCTCAAAAAAAAAAAAAAAAAGCTGTTTAAAGCCAAGTGCCAGAGGGAACTGCTGTGGGTATTAATATCTGAGGAGAGCAGCCATCTCTGAACACGCAGGTCCTGAGGCCATTGTCACTAGCCAGCCTGGCATCTGCTTTTAAGGGATGGGTGATGTGCCAGCAGATCGAACTGCTGCATCTGTTTCCAGGTTGATGCAGTCTGTGCTCAGTTTTGCAGCAACTCAAGTCACCCACCAGGCAATGGGCACACTGTGTTGCTCTGTAGGGAAATAAGGTGTTCGCTACTGCTGTTCTATGACAAATCCAAGTTATGAATTTGAGAAATAGCTCAGATTTTCATGGGATATGAGTAGCACATTCTGTTTACTTCTGTCAGCTAATGGTTTAACTTTTCCCTTTATACAGCTGGAAATTTAGTTAGCCAGGTGTTGTGTGTGTCCCTACAATGGCATTATCAGAGCAAAATACTGTAAAGATCAAAATCTAGACATTATCAGTGTATTGATAGTGCTGCATTCCATTATTTCCTTGCCAGCTTTCCTGGTAGTCTCTTATGCAGGAGGGAGGCAGGTGATAGATGCATTAGCTCTGCCTAGAAACTTTCTTGGGAGACATAATTGCTGCTCACCAGTGTCTGAGAATACCTGGTAAAGAAGTGGAATCATCTGGTAGCAACCCTGCCTAATGCTGAGGAACCCCCAGGTGAGTGTGTGGTACTTCTACTCTTCACCTGTTGCTAGAAGGTGGTGATCTACTGGTGCAGCTGCAAACCATTATCCAGGTTTGTATCCATACTGGTAAGGTTTAAAGACAGCTGGGTTGCTTGTTTTCTAGGCATTGCCTCACACCATGCCTTTTCTATAGATTTTAACCAAGATGGGCAGATTGTCAGTCCTGGCTACTCTTTTTCACAATTACTGTTATATGAAAGGAGACTGTGGAGTAGCTTGCCAGAGGGAAACCAGAGTCTTTGCACTGAGGGGTGGACAGGCTTCCTCGTAATCAACATGTGTCTGGAGTGCCTACTGAATGTGGAGGGAAGAAGCTGATGTAGTCCAGCACTGATGCCCTAATCCATGGACTATCACTCGCCATGTCTGCAGGGAATGTAGGTGCAGAAGAAAGTGGATTTTAAGTGGTTTTCAGAAGAATGAAGGGGTTTAGGAGAGTGCTTCCTATGATGTTTATGATACTTTAGTGGCCTTTCATATCTCCAGTATTTTTGCAAGCTTCCTTAGTTAGAAGGGAATGGATGGCAGGTTGTGAATTAGATAGTAAAGATGCAATATGGTACTCTGAAAGGGTCCTGCCCTGTTCCTGAACGTGCATGTGTGCACAGGGAATTGAAGGCTGGAACACTGATTTCCCCTGGCTTCTGGTAGGAATACATTTGGAATGGTCACACCCCAGGATTTAGGGGTGTTAGAAAATTAGAGAATATACAAAACTGAACAAATAACAAATAATGGAAGATTGTACAGCAACAGAAAAGCTATTTACAAGTTAAAGGTTGGTTTGGTTTTTTTCTTTTTTCTTGCTGAATAAGGCAATTCTAGGAAGCTGATGTGTCAGATTCCTGTTTGGAGCAGAAAGCAAGCACTTTGTTTTGTTTTGTTTGGTAACTCCTCTTTACAGAGTGTGCAGAGACTGCTGCTGCACAAGCAACACCTGAGATTTCTGCAAAAAGAAACTTGCTTTGTCCTAAGAAACAGCTGTTCTAAGTCCCTGTTTGTCTCTTGGCTCCAGTGATCTCAAAGAAACACAACTGCTTCATGTGCTTTTTGCTTTCTTCCCTGGGGCCTTCCTATTATACCTTGGGAAATTCCTGCTCTGAGGGAAGTGAGGCCAAAGGAAATCTCGACAAATTCCCTTTGCAGGCTCTTTTTGCTTCTCCCCAGCTGCTTTCCCTTTCCAGCAGGGGAGACCTCACCTTCCACCCTTCTAGGGCTGTGGGCTGCCGGTCTTCCCAGAGAAACTGTGAGACTGCAAACTGCCTCTCCGGAGCTTTTCCTACCTTACAGCTCAGTATTTCCTTACCCCACCGCAGAGAAGCGTGGAGCTGTCATTCTCCACCTCCAAGCCAGAGCATCCTCCATGCAGGTTAGCACCTTGCTGCTGTCCTGTCAGCCCTGGCTGATCCTCCAGTTCTCAACCAGCCGGTTGCTGGAAGCAGAAAGGTTCTGTGGGAGCTTGGGAGTGGTGCAGGGGCATGTGCATCTTCAGACTACTTTTGACAGTGGCTGTGAGCAACTACCTGTGCTGCTGCAGTCCATGGGTTGTGTGGGGCATTGGTTGGGTTCCTCACTGTGGCTGCATGGACAGAACCCAGTTTTATCTCTCCAGTAAGTTCCTGTCTCCTGAAGTGCTGCTATCCTCTGTCTTTCCTCCTCAGTGAGCTGAGTGCTATGTCCATGTCCATTAGCATCGTTAGGACCAGATTTGGACTGCAGTTAAAAAGGGCTGTTTTCTGTTTTGCTCTGATGTAAATCCACAGCCTCTGTTCTAGCAGTATGGTGTATGCTGGTACTGCTACACAGTTCAAGCATTGCTGTAGGAAACTTGCAGAGTAAATAATATCAAAGACTAGTCTCATTTTCCCCCAAGAACCCAGTTATGGTGAATACCAAGCTTAAAGGTATAACTGGCTCCATATTTTTAATTATTTCCCCCATCTGGACACATCACCATGGATGCTTGTCAGCTGATTGGCAAGCAGTACCTGACCCTCTGCCTTAGCTTGCAGTGGCCAGGAGTGAAGTGTCTTCTATCAAAAAGAGTGGTGATACTCTGAGCCTGCGTGGCTGAAGGAAAGTAATTAATGTTCATGATGGAAATACCTTGTGGTTTTGTGTGTTTCTCTCTCTGACCTCTTGGTCAGGTCAGCCCCTGTATGTTTTATTTCAGATGGCTATCAGTATTTGAATTCATGGTGGCAAGAGGGTTACGTGGCTTGGAATTTGGTATTCAACAGTGACAGACTGAAGCACATGAGCAGCAGTACCCCTTTCATTCCCTCTGGAGAAGGCTGCTCTCAAGCAATGCCAAGAAGCTACCTACTCCATGTAGCATGTGGCTTTGCTAATAGCTCTGTGCCTAGTGCCTGGGCACCAAGCCGCTGCTCCACTGCTATTCCTCCTCTTGATGGGAAGGGTTAGCTTTCTTCAGACATCAGCTGGATCTAATTTGAGGCTTAGCTTTTTCATCTCTGGCACTCATCAATAGAAAAACTTAAGGCAATCTGCCTTAAGTTATCAAAACTCGCAAATGACTCTTTACCTAAATTTCTGAGGAAAAAATGTCTAAACCTGAAAGGGAGAGACTCGGTGCCATGATGTGTTGCAACTGACCACCAGAACAGGAATGACTTGTAGACAGGAGATCAGCCTCGGTGTGAATCTTGCTTCAGGCGGAATCCCATCCGTCTAGGAAGATGACTAAAGGCTCTAGGTCGTGCTTGTGTTATGTCTCAAATCCCCACCACGCACTGAACCAGTTCAGTAGATGAGTGGTAGGGAGCACATTTCCAGTATGTGAGCTCCTTATTAATCTGGCTGCAGAAGTAACTCAGTACTCTGAGTGTCTACCTATGCTACCTTGCAGGGCAGCCGAGGGGAAGGTTAGAGAAGACGGGCAGCACAGGTCCCTCCGATTCCTCCTTCCCTGCCTCAGGCTGCCGGCGCCTGCGGAAGCAAAACAAGAGACACGAGCCACTCGCGATGAGCAGCAGTTGGGAGTGGATGCGCTCTGTGGTGATCGCAGCGACGCTCTGCAGAGCCTTGTGGGGTGCCTGGGACTGAGCGGCATTTCAGGGGTGGGCTCTGGACTCCCAGGGGGTGCTTCTCCAAGTACAGCATCCCTGTGCACTGTGCTGCCCCAGGAGCTCAGCTGGGGCACTTCTCATGCTGAGATGAGGGCTGACTGGGATGCTTTGAAGAGGTAATGCCTCCTGGCAATGCAGGAGCTTTCTAAAAATCTGCTATATTTCTGATTCTTGGAGGCTGGAAAAACTGAACCCATGTTTTATTTCTTACCGACATTTTTCAAAATGCTGAAGTTTTTCACTTTGTCATCTCTTACTTAGAAAACTTATTTCTGAGAGATTTTTTTAAAACTTTCTCTTATTCCGTCCACCCATGACTGACTATTGGATTTTCTCCCAGAATGGAAACTTTGTATTCTGAGTAGTTACCAGCACAGTAGGTCTCCTGAATTTAAAAGTATCCTTTTACTTTTTTTTAGAGTATGTAAATAAGCATGAACAGATGCTCTGAGAACACTGCCCAGACCTTGCCTGTTTAAAACCAGATTATGGGGTTTCTGTGAAAGAATCAGTTAAGTGGGTGCAACCCTGTCTCACCTCTGAGAAGAGCTTTTCTTTTTCCTGCCAGAGCATCCCTCTTCCAGGCAGACGGGCCACAGGGTCATCTAAAATCCCAGCCCTATCAGTGCCTTTGACTTAATTCTTTGTGCGGGTAAGGCTGTTTCAGATTTATCCTCTTCACCTCAGAGGAGTAAGGTGCGCAGAGCATAAGGAAAGACCATCATCCCGATGATCCCAATGTACAGTTTCTTCTCTACCCCCCTATCTACCCTGTACCTAATCAATCTGCTGATCTTACACTTCTCACTTCTGGGCCACTTAAGCAGTACTGCTATTGTTACTAGCCTGCAATTATGATTTCTTTTGGCATATCATTCTTGATATGAAAATGTCCTCTAATTAGCTTCTTGGCTGCAAGAACAAACTGGTGAGTTTTATTTTCTTGGTGCAAACTACCAATTTTCACATCAGGGAGCCGACGACTAGTCTTGGGAAGGGTGGTGTTCCTACTCTCTCCCTAAAATGTGCTCAGGCTCCATTCCCACAGTTACTCTGCAAGGGTTTGTTCAGGCTGCCCAGCTGCTGGCGAAGTGGAACTAGGGAGGAGCCCTGAAGGAACTGGTGGTACCTGATGGAGTTGGAAGGAAAGCAGAAGGAGATGCTAAAAAGATTGAAGACTCCAGACTTGGGAGTCTTGGCTTGTTGCTCGACTCTTGTTTATATTATATATTATATTATAAGCATATATATAGGTATCCATACATAAGTGCTTATAACTGCATAATCTTGCAGTGCTTTTGGTTTTGTCCATAAATGAAGCGGAGACGCTTTTGAATTCTGAGCAGAAAAAACCCTGTTCCTTGTTCATGTGTGCAAAGGGCCAGAGTGTTGAGACAGCTACTAAGCAGAAGTGAAAGCAGAGGTAAGATGCGAAGCACTGCAGATCTGCCCGCCTGGGCACTCCTGCTGCGCTT